TTAAATTAAATTAAAAAATTAAATTGAATTAAAAATTATTAAAATTATTTATAAAACTTTAAAAATATTCAAAAAAAGTTTTTTTTTTAAAGAAATAATAAAAAAATTTAAAAAAAAATAATTTAAAAATTATTTTAAATTAAATTTAAAAATTAAATTAAGTTGAAAATTATTAAAATTATTAAAAAAAAACTTTAAAATATTAACAAAAAATTATTCTAAATTAAATTTAAAAATTAAATGAAAATTATTATAATTATTTAAAAAAAAACTTTAAAAATATTTTGTTTTTAAAGAAAAAATAAAAAAATTGAACAAAAACAATTTATTTTTTTTTTAAATTAAATTTAAACATTATTTAAAAAAATATTTTTTTAAAGAAATAATAAAAAAAATTAAACAAAAATAATTTAAAAAATATTTTAAATTATATTTAACAATTAAATTAAAAATTATTAAATTAAAAAAAAACACTTTTTAAATATTACAAAAAATAATTTTTAAAGAAATAGTAATAATAATAAATATTTTAAATTAAATTTAAAAATTAAATTTAATTAAAAATTATTAACATTTAAAAAAAATTAAAAGTATTTAAAAAAAATATTTTTTAAAGAAATAAAAAAATTAAACAAAAATAGTTTAAAAAATATTTTAAATTAAATTTAAAATTATTTATAAAACTTTAAAAATGTTCAAAAAAAAAGGGTTTTTTTAAAGAAATAATAAAAAAATTTAAACAAAAAGAATTTAAAAATTACTTTAAGTTAAATTTAAAAATATTTAAGAAAACTTTTAAAATATTAAAAACTAGACAATAACAATTTAAAAATTATTTTTAATTAAATTTAAAAATTAAATTAAATTAAATTAAATTAAAAATTATTAAAATTATAAAAAAAAACTTTTAAAACATTAAAAAAATTATTTTTTAAGAAATAACAATAAAAAATTTAAACAAAAAAAATTTAAAAATTATCTTAAATAAATTTTAAAATTAAATTAAATTAAAAATTATTAAAATTATTAAAAAAAAAAACTTTAAAAATATTAAAAATAATAATTTTTTTAAGAAATAATAAAAAAAATAAACAAAAACAATTTTAAAATTATTTTTAAATTAATTTAAAAATTAAATGAATTTATAAAAGTTACTTTAAAAAAACTTTAAAAATATTAAAAAAAAAATATTTGTTTAAAGAAATAATAAAAAAATATAAACAAAAACAATTTAAAAATGATTCTAAATTTGAAAATTAAATTAAATTGAAAATTATTAAAATTATTTAAAAAAAACTTTTAAAATATTTAAAAAAATCATTGTTTAAAGAAAAAAATTAAACAAACAACAATTTAAAAATTATTTTGAGTTAAATTTAAAAATTAAATTAAAGTAAATTAAAAATTATTAAAATTTAAAAAAAAACTTCAAAATATTGAAAAAAAAAATATTTTTTTAAGAAATAATAAAAAAATTAAAAAAAAAACTATCAAAAAATTATTTTAAATTAAATTTAAAAATTAAATTAAATTAAAAATTATTAAAATTATTTAAAAAAAAAGAAAACTATAAAAAATGATTTTTTTGACTAAAAAAAATAAACAAAAACAATTTAAAAATTATTTTAAATTTAATTAAAAATTATTAAAAAAAAAAACTTTAAAACTATTAAAAAAAATATGATTTTTAAAGAAATAATAAAAAAATTAAACAAAAACAATTTAAACATTATTTTAAATTAAATTTAAAAAATTATTAAAATTATTCAAAAAAAAAATTAAAAAAACATATTTTTTTTAAAAAATAATAAAAAAGCAATTAAAAATGATTTTAAAAATTAAATTAAAAATTATTTAAAAAAAATACTTTTGAAATATTAAAAAAATTATTTTTTTTAAAGAAAAAAAGTTTAAACAAAAAAATTAAAAATTATTTTAAATTAAATTAAAAAATTAAATTGAATTAAAATTATTAAAATTATTTATAAAACTTTAAAAATATTCAGAAAAAAGTTTTTTTTTTTAAAGAAATAATAAAAAAATTTTAAACAAAAATAATTTAAAAATTATTTTAAATTAAATTTAAAAATTAAATTAAGTTGAAAATTATTAAAATTATTAAAAAAAAACTTTAAAATATTAACAAAAAATTATTCTAAATTAAATTTAAAAATTAAATGAAAAATTATTATAATTATTTAAAAAAAAAAACTTTAAAAATATTTTGTTTTTAAAGAAAAAATAAAAAAATTGAACAAAAACAATTTAATTTTTTTAAATTAAAATTAAACATTATTTAAAAAAATATTTTTTTAAAGAAATAATAAAGAAACATTTAAACAAAAACAATTTAAAAATGATTTTAAAATAAATTTAAAAATTAAATTAAAAACTATTTAAAAAAAAACTTTAAAGATATTTAAAAAAAATTATTTTTTAAAGAAATAATAAAAAATATAATTTAAATATTATATTAAATTAAATATAAAAATTATTAAAATTATTTAATTATTAAAAAAATTGAAAATTAATTAATTATTTATTTATTAACAAAACTTTAAAAATATAAAAATAAAAAAACAGATTTTTTTAAAGAAATAATAAAAAAATTGAACAAAAACAATTTAAAAATGATTTTAAATTAAATTTAAAAATTAAATTAAATTAGAAATTATTAAAATTATTTAAAAAAAAAAACTTTAAAAATATTAAAGAAAATGATTTTTTAAAGAAATAAAAAAATTTAAACAAAAACAATTTAAAAATTATTTTAAATTAAATTTAAAAATTAAATTAAATTAAAAATAATTATAGTTATTTAAAAAAAAAAACTTTAAAAATATTAAAAAAATATATTTTTTTAAAGAAAAGATACAAAAAATTAAACAAAAACTATTTAAAAATTATTTTAAATTTAAATTAAATTGAAAATTATTATAATTGAAAAAAAAAACTTTAAAAATATTTAAAAAAAAAACTTTTTTTAAGAAATAATAAAAACATTAAACAAAAACAATTTTAAAATGATTAAATTTATAAATTAAATAAAATTAAAAATGAAAAAAAAGCTTTAAAAATTATTCTAAATTAAATTTAAAAATTAAAATTAAATTTAAAAATTTTTAAAATTATTTAAAACAAGCTTTAAAAATAAATAAAAAAGGATTTTTTTTAAAGAATAAATTAAACAAAAATTATTTTAAATTAAATTTAAAAATTAAACTAAATTCCTTCCTTGTTAAAGGAAGAATAAAAAAAATTTGAACAAAAAAATTAAAAATTGTTTTAAATTAAATTTAAATTAAAATAAAAATTATTAAAATTATTAAAAAAAACTTTAAAAGTATTAAAAAAAGATTTTTTTAAAGAAATAATAAACAAATTTACACAAAAACAATTTAAAAATTATTTTAAATTAAATTAAAATTTAAAAAAAAAAAAAACTTTAAAAATATTAAAATATATATATTTCAAATATTAATGTTTTTATTTTAAAAAATATTTGAAATTATTTTAAATTAAAAACTATTAAAATTATTAAAAAAAAAATAAAAACAAGGATTTGTTTAAAGATATAAAAAAAATTAAACAAATACAATTTAAAAATTATTTTAAAGTTAATTTAAAAATTAAATTACATCAAAAATTATTAAAATTATTTAGAAAAAAAACTTTAAAAATATTAAAAAAATGACTTTTTTAAAGAAAAAATAAAAAAATAAACAAAAACAATTTAAAAATTATTTTAAATTAAATTAATAATTATTAAAAAAAAAAAAACAATAAAAATATTAAAAAAATGATTTTCTTAAAGTAAAAAAAAATTTAACAAAAACAATTTAAAAAAATGATTTTAAATTAAATTTAAAAGTTAAGTTAAATTAAAAATTATTAAAATTATTAAAAAAAAAAAAAAAAAAACTTTAAAAATATTAAAAAAAATGAAAATTGCACTCCAAAAAAGGTAGCAGGGATCTGGAATGGAACAGCGACACTTTGGTTTCACACCTTGCTTTCCAAATAACTCCAGACACAATAGTCCAACGGATTGGTTGGATGGCCATTGTGCGTTGGAAATGAAGCGAGGAATCTCATTTTGTAACCATTCTTCGGTGGCAGATGCTGAGTGCGCAGTTCGCTACTTTCGGCCAAGCGAAGCAACCCTCTTTAGCTCTTTTGAGTCGTCTATGTTCTTTCCGTTGCGGTGTAAGTTCTTGCACTTTTTGGAATTTCTATGGCTTTACCCCGCCAGAGCTCATTTTTCAATATTTGCCGAATGGAATATTGCGATATGCGGGTTTCAAGTGATCAAGTCGCTTCTTTACCTTTTCGCACCATTTCTGCTGATGTTGCTGTTTTCTTCCGTCCACTTCCTTAACGTCGGGCTACGCTACCAGTATGAGAGCGATACGCGATACGAAACACAAAAGTTTTAGTCACATTTAAATGCTGGAGGGCTCTAACGATAGCCATTTGTGGTTTTCCAGCCAAATATCAAGAAATCACACTATCCCACTTGAATTCCATTCCGAATAACATTTTTTCTGGAAAATTCTCAGCAAAATCCTTTTGTACCCTGGTAAACAATATAATGAGCTGTCACTGGAATAAATTTAAACAGCTGTCGGACGTGTGGCCTGGAAATGACAGCAGTCTGAAGTTGGTTGCCGTTTTTTCATCTTACCCAAATAGTTGACCAAAAATTCCTACACAAAATATGCAGGTGTATTTACCCCTTCAAACCCCATTTCTAAGAGTTTCCAAGTGGCCCCTAGGCCCTCGTATAAGAGAAAATTATCTCGACTCATATATTTTCTTTTGTTGTTGTTGTTGTTTATTTTATTTTATTTATTATTTATTCTTTTTTTTTTTTTTTTTTTGAGAGAGAGTAAAGAGATTATTACGACAACAACATCAGCTACTTGAAACGTTTAAATCATTTAATAATTATCATTATCACCATGATTCCGCAAATAATCATCTTACAACAACTGTGTGGCTAACAACAAACAACAACAAAGTCTTATTTTAAAAATAGAAATATTTACAAACACGAGCCATACTTAATTTCCCATTTACAATTCACTTTTATAACCTTTCTCCAGGGTAGCCGATTTCCCCTCGGCCTGCCACTGTTGGCTGATAAGATCCGATGCTTTTTCGGCAATCATGATGGTGGGGGCATTGGTGTTCCCGCTCGACACAAAGGGCATAATGGAGGCATCAACAACACGGAGATTTTTGACACCCTTCACCTTGAGTTGAGGATCCACACAGGTTGTGGGATCTCCGGCGGAACCCATTTTTACCGTGCCCACTTGATGGTAACAGGTGGAGGTAAAGTAGCTGGCATAACAACGCCAATATTGGGGAGATTTGAATTCAAACTTGTCGCACTCCTCCAGGGGTATGTGTAGAATTTCTGCTTGCCGTTCCCTAAAGGCCTGGGTCTGTTCCAATTTATTGACATAGTCCAGACCCCTTAGGAGTACCTCCATATCCTCGGGATCTGCAAAATAGCCAGAATCTATTGTGGGATAATCCCAGGGGGAGGGGGATTTTAATTTCACACTACCCCTCGACTTGGGATGGGCCACCAAAACAAACACCGCCACCAGATCATGGCTTTCAATTTCCTTTAAAATAAACTGCTTATATTCCGGCTTGGTGGAGAAGCCATTTAGGAGCAGCTCCATGCGCAGGATATTTCCACGATTAAAGGACAGGTGGTGCATTTCAATGTCGGGATAGAGGGGAGACTTACTGGCATCGCTTTGTATGAATCCAATAAGGGGGGTACTGCCAATGGAGCTAAGCGGTCCCTTTTGATGTATGATATATTGATAGATGTCATCCAGTAGCTGGGTGGGTTTGGGAGGCTCGGCTGGTATCCTTAAAAATGTCAAGGCCAAGACATGATCCTGCAGATTTTCGCCCACGGGTAGATTGTGAATCAGGGGTATATTTAAGGGCTCCAAAACTTCTCTGGGACCCACCCCCGACAACATCAAAAGTTTTGGCGAATCTATGGCCCCCGCCGAGAGTATGGCCTCCTTGCCGACCCTCACCCTCATGTTGTGGCTATCTTGCAGCCTAAATTCAATGCTCTCCACTTTATCTCCCTGGGAATTGAAATCGATTTTGCTAACCCAGGCATTTTTGATGATATGCAAATTTGGCCGAAACTTGGCCACCTTGGCCAAATAACCTTTGCCCGTGCTGCCACGACGTCCCTCGCTCACCGTGCCCTTAATATGGGCATAGCCCACATAGCTACCTTCCACAAAATCTTCCACCTTGGGTACTCCCAATTCCGCACCGGCTTGTGTCAATAAATCCACCACATGTTGATCAAAATCTCCAAATTCGTTGAGGCTCACATAGCCCTTGGGATGGGTGTCGTTGCCCTGGGGCGTGGTCATTTTCACAAAATAGGGCCAAACATCCTCATAACACCAACCCTCACTGCCCGACTCACACCATTTGTCATATTCCGCACGATTGCCTCTCACATAGAGCATGGCATTGATGGCCCCACTACCTCCCAAAACCTTGCCCCGTGGCCAGTGGCAACGTTCATTTTTAAAGGCCCTACAGGAACGGCCATTCGGCTCCGGGTAATAGGCAAAACTGGAGTTGGAAAATTGCACCCCGAAAAAGGCTGCAGGGATCTGGAATGGAACAGCGGGATTAAATAAAAAATATTCTTTTCTATTCCTCACTTTACCTACCTCCGACTCGGGTGGTGGATCCCCACCGGCCTCCAAAACCAAAACCTTGAACTCAGGATTCTCACTCAAACGACTGGCCACCACAGAACCAGCCGTCCCGGCCCCAATTATCACAAAATCATATTCCTCCAAGCCTTTGCTCAAGGCCTGCTCTGCATAATCCTCCGGCCAGGATTCCTTGGGCGAAATATTACACTGGGCCGCCAGGATCCCCTCCACCAGCAGTGATACCAAGGTATTGACCATACCCAGACTGGGATTCGAACATTGTGCCGCAGCCGTTAATGACATCTTTTCGCAAGATCATGTAATGACCAACTGAAACCTTTCGTATATTTTCCTCAAATATGATTGCATCAAGCTCGCAGCAGCAGCAGCTGCTGCGGCGGCAGAAGCTATTGCTGCGATAACTCAAAAAAAAATACGCTGAGTCAACGCGGCGAGACGTATCAGAGGGGGGTGAGGAAATGCCATTTCAAATGATAAACACAAATCCTATCTCCGAACATTCACCCAAGAAAAAAATCCAACTAAAAGATCTTAACTGCTTACAGAGAGGCACCAAAGTAAGCAGTTGAAAAAAAAAAATTATTTGGGAATAACACCAAGTTTCATTCAAGAAATTTCTTCTCTGAAAGCAATATTTTCGCAAAAAAGAAAAAAATCTCAAAACTGCTTACCAAGTGGCTCCAAAGTAAGCACTTGAAAGAAAATTAATTTGGGCGTAATACCAAGCCTCATTCTAAAAATGTCTTCTCTGGGGAAAAGCGATTTTTTTGCAAAAAATACAAATTTTTCAAAACTGCTTACCAAGTGGCTCCAAAGTAAGCAGTTGAAAAAAAATGAATTTGGACGTAATACCAAGGTTTATTCTAAAAATGTCTTCTTTGGTCAAAAGCGATCTTTTGCAAGAAAGAAACCCAAAACTTCTTACAAATTGACAACAAAGTAACCAAACTACTTACCAAGTTGCATCAAAGTAAGCACTTGAAAGAAAATTAATTTGGCGTAATACCAATCCTCATTCTAAAAATTTCTTCTCTGGTGAGAAGCGATCTTTTCGCAAAAAAATAAAAAAAATCTTAAAACTGCTTACCAAGTGGTTCCAAAGTAAGCAGTTGAAAACGAAATCTTTGGACGTAATACCAAGATTCATTCTAAAAATGTCTTCTCTGGCCAAAAGTGATTTTTTTGCAAAAGAGAAAAAAATCCAAAACTGCTTACCAAGTGGCACCAAAGTAAGCAGTTGAAAAAAAAATTCTTTTTTAAAATTTCTTCTCTGGTCAAAAGCGATCTTTTGCAAGAAAGAAACCCAAAACTGCTTGCAAATCGACAACAAAGTAACCAAACTGCTTACCAAGTTGCACCAAAGTAAGCACTTGAAAGAAAATTATTTTGAGCGTAATACCAAGCCTCATTCTTAAAATGTCTTCTCTAGTCAAAAGTGATTTTTTTGCAAAAGAGAAAAAAATTCCAAAACTGCTTACCAAGTGTCACCAAAGTAAGCAGTTGAAAAAAATTTCTTTGGACCTAATACCAAAATTCATTCTAAAAATATCTTCTCTGGTCAAAAGTGATCTTTCGAAAGAAAGAAACCTAAAACTGCTTGCAAATTGGCAACAAAGTAACTAAACTACTTACCAAGTTGCACCAAAGTAAGTACTTGAAAGAAAATTAATTTGGGCGTGATCCAAGCCTCATTCCAAAAATTTCTTCTCTGATGAGAAGCGATCTTTTCGCAAAAAATAAAAAAGTCTTAAAACTGCTTACCAAGTGGCTCTAAAGTAAGCAGTTAATTTTTTTTTTGACGTAATACCAAGATTCATTCTAAAAATTTCTTCTCTGGTCAAAAGTGATTTTTTTCAAAAGAGAAAAAAATACAAAACTGCTTACAAATTGGCACTACAGTAACCAAACTACTTACCAAGTTGCACCAAAGTAAGCGCTTGAAAAAAAATTATTCGGGCGTAATACCAAGCCTCATTCCAAAAATGTCTTCTCTGGTGAGAACTGATCTTTTCGCAAAAAAGAAAAAATCTCAAAACTGCTTACCAAGTGGCTCCAAAGTAAGCAGTTGAAAAAAAAATTCTTTGTTCGTAAAACCAAGATTCATGCCAATAATTTTTTCTCTGGTGAGAAGAGATATTTTGTCAAAGAACAAATTCTAAAACTGCTTACAAAGTGGTACCACAGTAACCAAACTGCTTACCAAGTGGCATCAAAATAAGCACTTGAAAAAAAAAAATAATTTGGTCGTACTACCACGATTAGTTCTAAAAATGTCTTCTTCGGTCAGAAGCGATCTTTTGCAAGAGGGAGAGAAACAATACCAAAACTGCTTACAAATTGGCATCAAAGTAAGGAACTGTCCTTGCTTTTGGCGAGATCCTTAAGCTTACAAGGTAAGCAAATGCAGGCCTCATTTGTGGCCAAAATACGAAACATCCATTATTGAAAAGATTTTTTTTTTATTTTGGGAAAGATTTTTTTATTTAATTTCATAAAAAATGTTTTTTTAATTGGCTAAGGAGGTACAAACTCCCAGACAGAACTGCTGCCAGAATTGCTTACCAATGACAATGATGTAAGCACTTTCCCCTGATTTACCTATTTGTTTACCCCCCAATTTAAGCTATGGAAGATATGTACTCATAGCTTCTTTTATAGTATTTCCCTCTAAAAAGAAATATTTTCGAGTTGCTAAGCAAATTGTTTACTTCTGTGCCTACTTTGACCATACAAGTCATTGCAAAGTAAGCAGATGAGAAAAAGTGTGGAGACATCTAATATTTGCAAGGAGCAAAATTAAAGTTTCATCTACAGAAAATTTCGATATGAAAAGGAAGTTGCGAACTCTTTCAAGAAGGCAGCCATCTGTACTTATAAATCTGCCAAGAAGTGCTTACAAATTCACCCGAAAGTAATTAGTGTTATATTTTAGTTTCAATTCCAAGTTAAAAGCTATAAAAGGAAAATGTTCCTCTGTTTTAAGAAAATATTCTTTTTCCGGAAAGTTTTCTTTTAGGTGTCCCCATGTCTTCGTAAGTGCTTACATACTGCTTCCAAGTAAGCAGATACCCTTAACATTGCTGGCAAAATTCAAAGATTTCATGGGAAATATTTTTTTAGAGATGGGAAGTGATTTAAAAAAAATCAGGAAATTTTTTGAAGTGTCCCCATGTCTTTGCAAGTGCTTACATACTGCTTCCAAGTAAGCAGATGCCCTTAATGTTGCTGGAAAGAGAAGATTTTCATGAGAAATATTTTTTCTATCTCTGGTCTTGATTTAATTTAGAAATTTCCAAAAGAAAAAAAATCAGATAGTTTTTTAAGGTGTCCCCATGTCTTCGTAAGTGCTTACTTACTGCTTCCAAGTAAGCAGATAACCTTAACATTGGTGGCAAAATTCAAAGATTTCATGAGAAATATTTTTTTAGAGATAGGAAGTGATTTAAAAAAAATTCTGGAAATTTTTTGAAGTGTCTCCATGTCTTCGTATGCGCTTACATACTGCTTCCAAGTAAGCAGATATCCATATCGTTGCTGGAAAGAGAAGATTTTCATGAGAAATATTTATTCTATCTCTGATTTTGATTTAATTTAGAAATTTCAAAAAAAAAATCGAAAAGTTTTTTGAGGTGTCCCTATATCTTCATAAGTGCTTACATACTGCATCCAAGTAAGCAGATACCCTCAAACGTTGCTGGAAAGAAAGATTTTCATGAGAAATAATTTCTTAAGAGTTGGGAAGGGACATGAAAAAATTCTGGTCTTGATTTAACTTATAAATTTCCAAAAAAAAACCCGAAAGTTTTTTGAGGTGTCCCCATGTCTTCGGAAGTGCTTACATAGAGCATCCCAGTAAGCAGATACCCTTAACGTTGCCGGAAAGAGAAGATTTTCATGAGAAATATTTTTTTATCTCTGGTCTTGATTTAATTTAGAAATTTCCAAAAAAAAAATCGGAAAGTTTTTTGAGGTGTCCCCATGTCTTCGTAAGTGTTTACATACTGCATCCAAGTAAGCAGATACCCTTAATGTTGCTGGAAAGAGAAGATTTTCATGAGAAATAATTTCTTACGAGTTGGGAAGGGATCAAAAAAATTCTGGTCTTGATTTAATTTAAAAATTTCAGAAAAAATATTTTGTCGAAAAGCTTTTTGAGGTCTTCCCATGTCTTCGTAAGTGATTACATACTGCATAGAAGTAAGCAGATACCCTTATCGTTGCTGGCAAAATTCAAAGATTTCATGAGAAATAATTTCTTAAGAGTTGGGAAGGGATATGAAAAAATTCTGGTCTTGATTTAATTAAGAAATTTCCGAAAAAATATTTTTTTCAGAAAGTTTTTTTAAGGGTTTTCCCATGTCTTCGTAAGTGCTTATATACTGCATCCCAGTAAGCAGATACCCTTAACGTTGCTGGAAAGCGAAGATTTTCATGGAAAATAATTTCTTAAAAGATGGGATGGGATATAAACAAATTCTTGTCTTGATTTAATTTAGAAAAAATATTTTTTTCGGGAAGTTTTTTTTTGAGTTATCCATGTCTTTGTAAGTGCTTACATACTGCAACCCAGTAAGCGGATACCATTAACCTAGCTGGCAAAATTCAAAAATTACATGAGAATTTTTTTAAGACTTGGGAAGGGTTTTAATAAGGAATCTGGCCTTGATTTAATTTAGAACGGAACCTATTATCAATATCTCAAAAATTTCCCCATTTGAACTAGCCATTTTCTTCGAGTGTGTCACGTTGACGAACCCTTATCTTGTTCTCAGAACACACAGCAAATAAAGTATTCAAAACCTGTCTATGCCGATTAGTATATATGTTTAACACTTAATTAGCCGATATAAAATTGTTAAATTTATCAGTCAAATAGGCAATAAGTAATTGTTGTTGTTTTTTTTTTTTTTTTCATTCAGAGCAAATTGAGAGATCTTATCGGATTAAGTATTGGAAAATCAATGCTCTCTGACATTCTCAAAAATTGTGTGAAAGATAAGGGGATAGGTAGTAAAACTATTTTTTCCACTTTTATTTTGGGAAAAATTTGGTGGGAGATAATAGGACGAAGACCTACCCCAAATAGGTCACGAAATGTTATCAGAGATATAAGTTGGGAAGATTATTTCCGTAGCTCATATTTTTTTACTAAAATTAAAATATATATTACTCATTACTTTTGGGTGAGTTTGTAGGCAGATTTTGGCAGGTAGTATAAATATTGATGGCTGGTTTCTTAAACGAGGTCTCAATGTTTTTTTTTTAACCTTCTCTGAAAAAATTAAAGAAAAAATCACAGAGTTTTTGCCAAACTAAATTTGTTCCTTTGTTTTTTTTTTTTAATTTTATAGCCCTCGGAATTTTCTTTCCAGGGGTAGGAATTCAAATCGGTAGGTATTTCCATTAGCTTTCAAATTTATACCTATATTTTTAATATCAGATAAGGATCTAACTCGGGCCTTGGACTCGGTCTTTTGGGTCAAATATCTGGGTATCTAGGTCCGTCCCTTACTTACACAAATACTTACCTCTCAAAAAAAATCAAAAAGTTTAAGAATTTTAAAAAATTTCATTTTTTTAATTTAAAAAAAAAATATATATTTTTTTATTTTTAATTTTTTTTTAAATAATTTTTTTTTTAGATTTAAAAAAATCTTTAAATTTAGATTTTAAATTTTCATTTTTTTTAATTTAAAAAAAATATTTTTAAATTTTTTAATTTAAAAAAAATATTTTTTTTTAATATTAATTTTTTTAATTATTTTTTTTTTTTTTAATTTAAAAAAAAATATTTTTTTAGATTTAAAAAACATCTAAATTTAAATTTTAAAAAATTTATTTTTTTAATTTAAAAAATTATTTAAAAAAATAAAAAAATTATTAAAAAAAAAATTCCAATTTTTAAATATTTTATGCGTTTTATACGGGTTTTTGACATTTACGACACGTATACCAAAATTGTAAAATTTTTCAAAACTACTTATTTTCCTTACGTTTGTAGTTTTAGCACCTTTTTTTGGGGGGGTTTTTACATTTTTGACAAGTAATATACATTTGCGCCATTTTTACAAAGAATGTCAAAAACTACAAAATTGTCAATTATGTTTGATTTTGATAATATTTTTACAAAGTTTTAATTTTTAAACAATTTGTGGGTTTTATACAGGTTTTTGACGTTTACGACCTATGTGTCAAAAATGTAAAAAACTTCAAAATTGTTTATCTCACATAAATTTGTAGTTTTGGCACAATTTTAGGGTTTTTATACATTTTATACAGGTATTATACGTTTGTGACACTTTTACAAAGATAATTTTTTTTTTAATTAAAAAAATCTAAATTTAAAATTTCATTTTTTTAATTTAAAAAAAAATATTTTTAAATTTTTTAATTAAAAAAAATATTTTTTAATATTAATTTTTTTTAATTAATTATTTTTTTAATTTAAAAGAAAAATATTTTTTTTAGATTAAAAAAAAACTAAATTTAAATTTTAAAAAATTTATTTTTTCTTTTATTTAAAAAATTATTTAAAAAAATAATAAAATTATTTAAGAAAATATTTAAAAAATAAGAAAATTTAATTTTTTCTAAATTTAAAAAAAATTATGTTTTCTAAATTTAAAAAAAATATTTTTTCTATATTTTAAAAATATTATTATTTTTTTTTTTTTTTTTTGAATTTTAAAATATTTTATTTATTTTTTTAAATTTAATTTTTTTAATTTTAATTTTTTTTAATTTAAAAAAATTATTTTTTTTAGATTTAAAAAATCTAAATTAAAATTTTAAAAAAATTATTTTTTTAATTTAAAAAATAAAAACATAATTAAAAAAAAAGATTTAAAAAAAATGAGAAAATTTTATTTTTTTTTTTAAATTTATAAAAATTTATTTTTTCTAAATTAAAATAAAAATATTAAAAAAAAAATTTTTATTTTTAATTTTGAAATATTTTTTTTTGTTTATTTCAAAAAAATTTTATTGAACCCCTTCCCACCTAGCCTTCACCATATCCGCCGCCTTTTCCGCTATCACAATGGTGGGGGCATTGGTATTTCCTGTACTAACATAAGGCATAATGAAGGCATCGACAACTCGTAAATTATCCACACCCTTTAGCAGAAGATCTGGATTCACACACGCACTTTTGTCCTGGGGCGAACCCATTTTAACCGTTCCCACCTGATGATAACAGGTACTGGAAAAATAGCGAATATAACAATGCCAATAGTCGGGACTCTTATAACGGAAGCTATCACACTCCTCTATGGGTATGTGAATTAATTCCAATTGATTGCTGCTATAGGCCGAGGTCTTTTCCAATTCCATCATATAATTTATGCCACCCATAAGAATCTCCCCATCCAAGGGATCTTGCAGGTAACCCGTTTGTAATATCGGCGGATCATGAGCGGAAGATGATTTTAATGTCAGATTTCCCCTCGATCTGGGATGGGCCAGTACGACAAATTTCGTCAATATGGTATGGGTTTCAAGCTCCTTGAGAAGATACCTTTGGTAGTGCTGCTTCACTGTGAAGCCATTCAAAAGCAGCAGTAATCCATTTCGGTTACCTCTACGCGTTAGGAAGTGATGGATTTCCACATCTGGATAGGGGGAAGGGTCTGAGGTATTCACCTTAACAAAGCCTGTAACATGGGCTGTGCCCACACCGCTAAGGGGTCCTTTGTTCCCGCTTAAGTATCATAGGTTGCATTGAGGCTATCCAGGGTATTTGGTGGCGGGGCTGGTATGCGGAAAAACATAATAACCACCATGTGATCCTGTAAATTTTTACCCACCGGTAGATCATGTATAACAGGAATTTTCAAAGATCCCAGGTGGTCCTTGGGACCCACTCCCGATAGCATAAGTAGTTTGGGGGAATCTATGGCCCCTGCGGAGAGAATGAGCTCTCGCCCCACATTTACCTTTAGGGAGCTCTTATTTTGCACCACAAATTCCACGGAATTGACTTTGCGCCCCTGGGAGTCGAACTCCAATTTTTTGACCTGGGCATGTTTGATAACCCGGAGATTCGGCCGTTTAGCCACCTTGGCCAAATAACTTTTACCCGTACTGGAACGCCGGCCATTCTCCACGGTGCCCTTTACATAGGCATAGCCCACATAACTACCCTCCACAAAATCTTCCACCAATGGCTGCTTTAGCTCCTGGGCTCCTTGCAGCAGTACCGAATTTATATCCTCCGTGAAACGTCCAAAATGATTAAGAGTCACATAACCCATTGGATGGCTGGCATTGCCTTGCGGAGTTATGGCCTTCACATAATATGGCCACACATCATCGTAGCACCATCCCTCACTGCCGTGCTCACACCAGAGGTCATAATCCTGACGAGTGCCTCTAACAAATAACATGACATTCATGGCCCCAGAGCCACCTATTGTTTTACCCCTTGGCCAATGGCATCGTTCATTTTCCAAAGCCAAACAGGATCGGCCATTATCCGGTTCGGTAAAATAGCGATAGGAGTGCGGGCTGTGCTGCATGGCAGAGAAGGTATTGGGCACCTGGAAAATAAATAAATTTTCGTCAAAAATTTCTCTTCCAACCTCCCACCTACCTCTGATTCTGGTGGTGGATCACCACCCGCCTCCAAGACCAACACCCTCCATTTGGGATTCTCACTTAAGCGACTGGCCATCACCGATCCAGCCGACCCGGCACCAATGACCACAAAATCAAATGATTCCTTGAGACCCGTTCGCAAAACCACCTCCCCATAATCCTCAGGCCACTCAGCTGGGCTGGAAATATTACACTGGGCCGAGAGCAATCCTTCCACCAGCAGAGAAACCAAGGTGTTGACAGCTCCCACGCTTGGTATTGGACACTGGGCTGAACAAACAGCGGCCATATTGCCTTGCCACATTTTGGAGACTAAACGGCCTGAAGTAAATTTCGGGTCTTATAGACTGCTCAGCTGTCTGCTTTTGATTTCATTGGTATTCGAAACCAGATTATTTTGTGATTTAAAAAAAAAAGAATAAAACATTTTTTTTTATTCGAAAATGAAAACAGAAACAACAATTACACAAATGGATCTCTACACGTACAGACATACATACATACCTACAAGTGTAAATGTTACTTCTCTGGCCCATTAACCAACCTCCTTTGTAATTAATGGTTAATGATTGCCCGCCCCAGGTTAAAACTGTGTATTTTTGGGGGACGTATGGCACGTTTTCAACGCTTCATTTACAACAACACACTTTAGCATGGTTTATATACCGATTTTCCGGGTTTACAACCTTTTTTGATACATATACGTCGCAAACGTCGAATATGGGTAAAAAATGAAAAATTAAATAACAAAAAATATAAAATTAAATAAAATTGACAATTTTTAAGTTTTTGACACTTTTTGTAAAAATGTCACAAACGTATAATACCTGTCGAAAATGTAAAAAACCCTAAAAATGCCCCAAAACTAAAAATTTAAGTGAAATAAACAATATTGAAGTTTTTGACATTTTTGACACAAATGTCGTAAATGTCAAAAACCTGTATAAAACCCATAAAATGTTTGAAATTTGGAATTTTTGTTAACGAAAAATCAGAATTAAACATAATTGACCATTTCGTAGTTTTTGACATTTTTTTGTAAAAATGTCACAAACGTATAATACCTGTCGAAAATGTAAAAAAACCTAAAAATGCCCCCAAAACTGCAAATTTAAGTGAAATAATCCATTTTGAAGTTTTTTACATTTTTGACACAGATGTCGTAAACGTCAAAAACCTGTATAAAACCCATAAAATGTTTGAAAATTGAATTTTTGTAAAAAAAATATCAATAAAGATGTGCCAAAATTATTAATTTAAGTGAAATAAACCGTTTTGAAGACTTTTAAATTTTTGACACATACGTCGTAAACGTCAAAAACCTGTATAAAACCCATAATATGTTTAAAAATTAGAATTTTTGTGGAAAAAAATTAAAAGAAGAGGTATAAAATAAACATAATTAACAATTTTTAAGTTTTTGGTACTTTTTGTAAAAATGTCGCAAACGTATAATACCTGTAAAAAATGTAAAAAACCCTAAAAATGTCCCAAAAATACAAATTGAAGTGAAATAATTAATTTTGACTATTTTTTACATTTTTGACACATATGTCGTAAATGTCAAAAACTTGTATAAAACCCATAAAATGTTTAAAAATTAGAATTTTTGTAAAAAAAATATCCATAAAAAGGTGCCAAAACTACAAATTTATGTGAAATAAACAATTTTGAAGTTTTTGACATTTTTGACACATATGTCGTAAATGTCAAAAACCTGTATAAAACCCATAAAATGTTTAAAAACTGGAATTTTTGTAAAGAAAATATCAAAATTAAACGTAATTGTCAATTTTGAAGTTTTTGACATTCTTTGTAAAAATGTCACAAACGTATAATACCTGTCGATAATGTAAAGAACTCCAAAAATGTGGCAAAACTACAAATTTATGTGAAATAAACAATTTTGAAGTTTTTGACATTTTTGACACATATGTCGTGTATGTCAAAAAGCTGTATAAAACCCATCAAATGGTTAAAAAATGGAATTTTTGTAACAAAAAAGTCAAAATAATTATAAATTAAATGTAATTGACAAATTTTAAACTGTTTTCCCCTTCCTGTAAAAATGTCGCAAACGTATAATACCTGTATAAAATGTAAAAAAAAAACTCTAAAAATACCCTAAAACTGAAAGTTTAAGTGAAATAAACAATTTTGAGATTTTTTTAAATTTTTGACAAATATGTCGTTAACGTCAAAAACCTGTAAAACCCATAAAATGTTTAAAAAATCGGATTTTTGTAAAAAAAAAAAATTTTTTTTTGAAGAAAATGGATGTCGTAAACGTATAATACCTGTATAAAATGTAAAAAAAAGACCTCCAAAAAGGTCTTCTATGTATGAAAGGTTCCTATGTGGCTGCATAAAATACCTCAAAAATCCCCCTTCTGTTCAGAGAAGACTCCAGGAAGCTATAGAAACGTATTCTTTATATTAAACATCCCTTTGGAAGCCATCTGTAAATAGAAGGCCACTAGCAAGGTGGCCTTCTCAGTCAAAAACGACCCTTGGAAGCCCTTCTACTTAATAAATATCCCCAGAAGACCTTCTATGCATGGAAAGTCTCTATGGGACCGTCTATGTATAGAAGACCCCTAAAACCCGCCTTTCTATGCAAAGGAGACTCCAGGAAGCAATAGAAGTGCTTATGAAAGCATTCTTTAAATGAAAGAATCTTAGGAAGCCACCTGTGTTTCTGAACACAGAAAGCTGTCTAGGCATGGAAGGCCCACAAAATATCCCTAGAGGGGCAGAAGGCCTTCTACAAGATCATCTACGTATAGAAGGACCCTACCAGAAACCGGTCTAGGCAGGAAAAGTCCATAAAATGCCTTTCGGTCCCTAGGAGACCTTTGATTTACAGAAAGGCCCCTAGAGTGTCTCCTAAGTATAGAAGGCTCCTAGCAGGCCTTCTATGTATTAAGGGTCTCTGGAAGACTTAACATGTCAAAATGTCCTAAGAAGCCCTTATACAAGGTATTCTGTGTATACAAGATCCTCAGATGGGCTTCTACGAGGACCTTCAGCTCTTCTATGCCGTCTGCGTACAAAAAGGCTCCTAGAAGGCTTTCTATGTATGGAAGGGCCATAAAATGCCGTTTGTGTATAGAAGATCCCTAAAATGTCGTCCATTGTAGCACCCTAGAAGCCCTTAGAGGCCTTCATTGTATTGATGGTCCCTAGAAAAACCCTCGTAATGTGTAAAAAGGTCCCAGGATGGCCTTATACGTTTATAAAGCCATTACAAGCGATTCTATGGATAACAGGTTTCCAATAGGCCTTCTCTGGGTATTAGACCCCAAGAAGATCTTCGATGGATAGTAGTCCTCAAGAAAGACTCCAATTATTAGAAGATCAAAATAGGTTTAAATAAATGAGAAATTTTTAATTTTATTTTCTTCCTCTTTCTCTTTTCAGGTAATTTTTATTCCGCACTGTTTTCCGAATTGGATTGAATTTCAATCCTAATTTACGTCGGAATAAGGTAAGTCAAATTTCAAACAAAAATAACTCTCTCACTTCCCTCTCCACTCGCGTTGAATAAATTCCGCCGCTCTCTCCCCAATCATGAGAGTGGGACCATAAGTATTACAGCTAGTTATTGTCGGCATTATGGAAGCATCGGCAACTCTCAGGTTGCGCACCCCTTTCACTTTCAGCCGGGGTCCCACACAGGCTGTTGTATCGCTGTCGGCACCCATTTTAATGGTGCCCACCAAATGGCTGCTCGTCGAGGAATAATAGGAGATATAACATGGCCAAAAATTTTCCGCATCCCCCAAGCATTCCTCTATGGGTATACGCATCAATTTGGCTTTCTTTGATTTAAAAATTGAAGTTTTGGCCAGACGTTGAAGATATTCGATTCCCGCCATTAGGCCATCAACATCTTCCCGCCGCTGTAAATAGTTGGGATAGATTAGCAATGGATCCTCAGGTTGCGAAGATTTCAGTTGTATTTTCCCACGAGATTTGGGTTGGAGTAGTAGAATAAATACCACCACCACATCGGCCTGCTGCACCAGATTTTCGAAGTACTTTGTTAGCTTCTCATTGGCCATAAAACCTTGGAGGAAGCCCATGCCCAAGGGGGCACCACGCCGCACCGTAAAGTGTTGGAGTTGTATGTCAGGATAGGGGTCCTTTGGGTTGGAATTTGTTTTAATAAAGCCATTCAGAGATCCCGTGCCAATTGAGGCTAGAAATCCTTTTTGGTATTTCAAATAAGCATAAATCTCATCCAAATCAGGGGAGGTGGAGGGATTTTCATTTGGTATGGCAAAAAATATGGGTACGGCAACATGATCCTGGAGATTTTCCCCAATGGGCAGGTTGTGTCTTACAGGGATGTTTAGGGGTTTTAACACATCTTTCGGTCCCACACCGGAGAGCATAAGCAGTTTCGGGGACTCCACTGTTCCAGCTGACAAAATGACCTCTTTTTGCACCTTGACCTTTAAGGTTTTACGATTTTGCAGAAGAAATTCGATTTCAGTCACCCGATCTGCCTTTTTGTTAAACAACAATTGCGTAACTCTGGCATTTTTCATTACCTTGAGATTTTCTCTATACTTGGCAACCCTACCCAAAAATCCCTTGGCACTGGATATGCGACGCCCCTCCTCTAAAATGCCACGAAAATTGCCATAGCCCACATAACTACCCTCCACAAAATCTCTGATTTTCCTTAACCCCAATTCCTTGGCTCCAGAGAAAAACAAGGATTTTATATCCTCGCCATAGTTGCCATATTCTCCCAACTTCATATACCCACTGGGATGGGTTTCATTGCCGCGATTTTCAAAAGATTTTCGAAAATAAGGCCACACATCCTCATAACACCAGCCCTCACATCCGGCGCCGCACCAGCCATCATAATCTCCACGGGTGCCACGAAAATAAAGCATGGCATTAATGGCCCCCGAGCCACCCAAACATTTTCCACTTAGCCAGCCACAATTTCCCCCGGCAGCAGATTTACAGGATACGCCATTGGTAATACCGCGATAGCTATAGGTGTAATTTGAAGATTGGACGGAGGTGAAAAGGAAGGGTACCTGGAAAATTTTCCAAAAGCAAGAATCCAATATCAAAATATTTTCCATTAAGAAATACTGCAACTCACCTCCGATTCCAGTGGCGGATCTGTGCCAGCCTCCAATACCAATGTCCTCCACAAAGGATTTTCACTTAAACGTCCTGCCACGACCGATCCAGCTGAGCCGCCACCAATTATTACAAAATCAAAGGTGCCCATATCGGAATTTGTCACTTCTTCGGCATAGTCCTGCGGCCAGTTATCCTTTGTGGAGATGGCACACTGATCCTTGAATAAACTTTCCACCAAGAGGCTCACAAAAAACTGCATGGCACCCAAACTTGTAACCGAACACTGGGCCGAGCAGACATTAGGAGTTGTTGTTGTTGCTGCAGCTATTCCTAACAAAGACATTTTTCAGAATGAGTTCTTCAAAATTGAATTGAACCAATATTTGTAGGCAAAATTTTAACGACCTAATTTTTTATCTCAAAATTATTTTTGTGGAATTTTATTAATTTTTTTGTTAATTAGGCTTTATAGAAGTCGGTAGATTGTAGATTTTATTGTAGATACACTCGAAGAAAAATTAAAAAATATTGGTCCTCCCACCAACAAATTTTATTCTTATTTTCTTTTTTTTTCAAAAAAAAAACCAGGCGTGGAATTTTTAAAAATTATTTTTCAATAAAAACAACAGGCGTGGATTTTTTAAAAATTATTTTTCAATAAAAACAACAGGCGTGGATTTTTAAAATTATTTTTCAATAAAAACAACAGGCGTGGATTTTTAAAATTATTTTTCAATAAAAACAACAGGCGTGGATTTTTTAAAAATTATTTTTCAATAAAAACAACAGACATGGATTTTTTAAAAATTATTTTTCAAAGAAACAACAGGCGTGGATTTTTTAAAAATTATTTTTCAATAAAAACAACAGGCGTGGATTTTTAAAATTATTTTTCAATAAAAACAACAGGCGTGGATTTTTTAAAAATTATTTTTCAATAAAAACAACAGGCGTGGATTTTTAAAATTATTTTTCAATAAAAACAACAGGCGTGGATTTTTAAAATTATTTTTCAATAAAAACAACAGGCGTGGATTTTTAAAATTATTTTTCAATGAAAACAACAGGCGTGGATTTTTTAAAAAATTATTTTTCAAAGAAACAAACGGGCGTAAATTTTTTAAAAATTATTTTTCAATGAAAACAACAGGCATGGATTTTTTTGAAAATTATTTTTCAATGAAAATAAAAGGCGTGGATTTTTTAAAAATTATTTTTCAAAGAAAAAAATAGGCGTGGATTTTTTAAAAATTATTTTTCAATGAAAACAACAGCAGTGCATTTTTTAAAAATTATTTTTCAATGAAAACAACAACTGTGGATTTTTTTAAAATTATTTTTTCAATGAAAACAACAACTGTGGATTTTTTTAAAATTATTTTTTCAATGAAAAAGCCTCTGAGGATTTTTTAAAAATTATTTTTTCAATGAAAAAGCATCTGAGGATTTTTTAAAAATTATTTTTTAATGAAAACAAAAGGCGTGGATTTTTTAAAAATTATTTTTCAATGAAAACAAATGGCGTGGATTTTAAAAATTATTTTTCAATGAAAAAGCATCTGAGGATTTTTTAAAAATTATTTTTTCAATGAAAAAGCATCTGAGGATTTTTTAAAAATTATTTTTTCAATGAAAACAACAGGCGTGGATTGTTTAAAAATTATTTTTCAAAAAAAAGCATCTGAGAATTTTTTAAAAATTATTTTCAATGAAAACAACAGGCGTGGATTTTTTAAAAATTATTTTTCAAAGAAAAAGCATCTGAGGATTTTTTAAAAATTATTTTTTCAATGAAAAAACATCTGAGGATTTTTTAAAAATTATTTTTTCAATGAAAAAGCATCTGAGGATTTTTTAAAAATTATTTTTCAATGAAAACAGTATGCGTGGATTTTTTAAAAATTATTTTTTCAATGAAAAAGCATCTGAGGATTTTTTAAAAATTATTTTTCAATCAAAACAACAGCCGTGGATTTTTTAAAAATTATTTTTCAATCAAAACAACAGGCGTGGATTTTTTAAAAATTATATTTCAATCAAAACAACAGGCGTGGATTTTTTAAAAATTATTTTTCAATCAAAACAACAGGCGTGGATTTTTTAAAAATTATTTTTTCAATGAAAAAGTATCTGAGGATTTTTTAAAAATTATTTTTTCAATGAAAAAGCATCTGAGGATTTTTTAAAAATTATTTTTTCAATGAAAAAGCAACTGAGAATTTTTTAAAAATTATTTTTTCAATGAAAAAGCATCTGAGAATTTTTTAAAAATTATTTTTTCAATGAAAAAGCATCTGAGGATTTTTTAAAAATTATTTTTTCAATGAAAAAGCATCTGAGGATTTTTTAAAAATTATTTTTTCAATGAAAAAGCATCTGAGGATTTTTTAAAAATTATTTTTTCAAACGCATCTGAGGATTTTTTAAAAATTATTTTTTCAATGAAAATGCATCTGAGGATTTTTTAAAAATTATTTTTCAATGAAAAAGCATCTGAGGATTTTTAAAAATCGAGTTCATTGAACGTCGAAGTTTTGTGGTAGTAGGATTGAGACTCCGGCTTCTTCTTTGCTCTCAGCGATAACAAATATAGATTTCAAGCGAAGAGAGGTAATATTTCTTGTCTGAAGACATGATCATAAATATTATCCATGGAGGCACTGAAATTAGTAAGATCTTAAAATAGCCGAACTTGAATGTTTTCTTAACCCTCAGTCTAAATCATTGATTAGAATTTTTTTTTTGTTTTTGTAGGACAAGTTAAAACTTTCCACAACAACTTTTTCGTATCGAAAAGTTGTCCATAACAACTTTTCTGTGTAAAAAAGTTGTCGATAACAACTTTTCCGTTTTTTTTTTTTCATTGAAAAATAATTTAAAATAATCCACGACTGTTTTTTTTTTAATTGAAAAATAATTTAAAAAAAATTCACGCCTGTTGTTTTGATTGAAAAATAATTTTTAAAAATATCACGCCTGTTTTTTTCGTTGAAAAATAATTTTTAAAAACATCACGCCTGTTTTTTTATTGAAAAATAATTTTAAAAAATCCACGGCTGTTGTTTTGATTGAAAAATAATTTTTAAAAAATCCACGCCTGTTTTTTTTATTGAAAAATAATTTTAAAAAAATCCACGCCTGCTTTTTTTATTGAAAAATAATTTTAAAAAAATCCACGCCTGCTTTTTTATTGAAAAATAATTTTAAAAAATCCACGCCTGTTTTTTTTATTGAAAAATAATTTTAAAAAATCCACGGCTGTTGTTTTGATTGAAAAATAATTTTTAAAAAATCCACGCTTATTGTTTTGATTGAAAAATAATTTTAAAAAAATCCACGCCTGTTGTTTTCATTGAAAAATAATTTTTAAAAAAATCCACGCATACTGTTTTTATTGAAAAATAATTTTTAAAAAATCCACGCCTGTTTTTTTCATTGAAAAATAATTTTTAAAAAATCCACGCCTGTTTTTTTCATTAAAAAATAATTTTTAAAAAATCCACGCATACAGTTTTCATTGAAAAATAATTTAAAAAAAATCCACGCCTGTTTTTTTCATTAAAAAATAATTTAAAAAAAATCCCCGACTGTTATTTTCATTGAAAAATAATTAAAAAAAATCCACGCCTATATTTTTCATTGAAAAATAATTTTAAAAAAATCCACGCCTGATTTTTTTTTTTTTCATTGAAAAATAATTTTAAAAAAATCCACGCCAGTTTTTTTCATTGAAAAATAGTTTTTAAAAAATTCACGCCTGTTTTTCTCATTGAAAAATAGTTTTTAAAAAATTCACGCCTGTTTTTCTCATTGAAAAATAGTTTTTAAAAAATCCACGCCTGTTTTTCTCATTGAAAAATAGTTTTTAAAAAATCCACGCCTGTTTCTTTTCGTTGAAAAATAATTTAAAAAAAATCCACGCCTGTTTCTATTCGTTGAAAAATAATTTTAAAAAAATCCACGCCTTTTTTTTCGTTGAAAAATAATTTTAAAAAAATCCACGCCTGTTTTTTTTCGTTGAAAAATAATTTAAAAAAAATCCACGCCTGTTTTTTTCGTTGAAAAATAATTTTAAAAAAATCCACGCCTGTTTTTTTCATTGAAAAATAATTTTAAAAAAATCCACGCCAGTTTTTTTCGTTGAAAAATAATTTTAAAAAAATCCACGCCTGTTTTTTTCGTTGAAAAATTATTTTAAAAAAATCCACGCCTGTTTTTTTTTCATTGAAAAATAATTTTAAAAAAATCGACGCCTGTTTTTTTCGTTGAAAAATAATTTTAAAAAAATCCACACCTGTTTTTTTCATTGAAAATAATTTAAAAAAAAATCCACGCCTGTAGTTTTCTTTGAAAAATAATTTATAAAAAATCAACTTTTCCGTATAGAAAAAGTTATCGATAACAACTTTTCCGTTAAAAATCTTATCGATAACAATCACACAATTTTCAAATCTTTTATCTTTCATTTATTTTTCTTAGAGGCTTACGAGTCTTTTACTTAATTCCTTTCATCTTATTATTAAAAATACGTCACACCGTCAATATTTATAATTCTTATCGCTTGACAAACATCTGCACATACATGTGTATATATTTTTGGTCTTGAGAGGTGATGGAACTCTGCTTTGTCGTGTAAAGAAAGAGAGTGAGTGAGGGAGACTGGGAGAGGGGAGTGCGGAAAATTCAAAACTCCAATGCAAATCAAAGGCCGCTGTTCATATTGGCACGCATCGCCTGAACGGGTCGTGGCGATTCAAGATTGCCAGCTGCAGCTATGAAATCGTTACGCTGTCTGAATAGAGCATCTGCCAAATCTGTGAATAAAGAAGAAGAATAAAAATTAAAAAAAAAAATATTGAGGCAGGTCAGGAAAATTCTTGAGAAGCTCACCATCACTAATTTCTTCGAAACTGGAATCATCATCGGTTTGACGTGTCCTCAACTTGTGATTCATTTTGTGATGTTCCACTGAGGGTTCGTGTTGGTCCTTGCTGTGCTCTTTGATAATTTTCTTTATTTGATCCGCCATTGAGGGTTTCCCTGGGGAACTTCCCTGAGAAGCTTTCTTTTTATTGTCTGCTACGGTGGCTTTGGCAGAATTTTCTTTGGTTTGCTTTTCGAGTTGTTTTCCAGAACTTTCATTTGATGATTGTGGCTTTTCAGGGATTTTCTGATCCTTGTTGGAACTTTCAGATTTCAAACTTGGACGTGTTTTCTTAACACTTTCGATCTCCTTACTTAGATCCTGTTTTACTTCATTCACTTTCACCGCCGAATCCTTTTCATTCGTGGCCTGTGTCTCCGAATCCTTGGCCACCAATTGTCGCTTTCCCACCACTTGTCCCTTTGAAGTTTCCAGATTTATTGCATCCTCGTTTTTAAATAACTCCCGACCTTGGGGTGCTGCCTTAACGCCACCTCTGACAGAGGGCAGTAGTACGGCCAACAGGATCACAAGGCAAACAGCCGAATTTTTCCACAGATTGAATTGCATGTTGAACGTTTGAATTATGAATGTAAACTGATTTTCAATTTGTTGTCGGATCAGCACCTGTTTCAAATGTAATCGATTGGAAATGTTTGGTTTCTTATTTGAATGTTTGGTGGCGGGCGGTACGCTACAGGAAGTTCTTAAAGTTTCGAAGAAATATTGGGGTGGAAAATATTGAGGGGTTATCTCATAGGGAAGAGGTGTCCTGTAGGCAAATTATGTCTCTTGGAAAGTTATCGATTAAAAATTTATCGATGGCGTCCCTATTATCAAAAAAATTCCAATAACACATTTTTACCTTGCAAAGTTACCGATAATTCTCCGGGAAAAACTACATTACAAAAATTATTTATTAAAGGTATCGATAAAAAAATGTATAACCTGAATCGATAAAAATGGTATCGAAAACAAGTATCGATAACTTGATAACGATATTTCTATCGAGAAAAAATTACATTACAAAATTTTTTTATTAAAGTGAACGATAAAAAATGTATAATTTGAATCGATAAAAATGGCATCGAAAACTAGTTATCGATTACGATATTTCTATGGTGAAAAATTACATAACAAAAATTATTTATAAAAGTTATCGATAAAAAATGTAAATTTTGTATCAATAAAAATTTTATCGAAAAATTACATTACAAAAATTATTTATAAGAATTATCGATAAAAATTTTATCGAAAAAAATAATCGATAAAAATATTTTTATTTTTAAAAAGTAAAATCTGTATCAAAAAAAAAATTATCGAAAAATTACAAAAATTATTTATTAAAGTTATCGATAAAAAATTTTATAGAAAAAAAATAATCGATAAAAATATTTTTATCGCTACAAATTACATTAATTTTTTTTCTAAATTATCGATAAAAAATTTATTATCTGTATCGATAACAATATTTCTATCGGGGAAAAATTACATTACAAAAATTATTTATAAAAGTTATCGATAAAAAATTTATCGAAAAGTAGTCGATAACAATATTAACAATATATTAAAACACTTTTTTTAAAGTTATCGATAAAAAAGTGTATCGATAAAAATTTTATCGAAAAAAGTAATCGATAAAAATATTTTTTCGTTAAAAAAACTTTTTATAAAACTTATCGATAAAAAATTTATAAACTATATGGATAAAAATGTTATCGAAAAATTACATTTCAAAAATTATTTATAAATGTTATCGATAAAAAATGTAAAATCTGTATCGATAACAATTTTATCGAAAAATTACATTACAAAAATTATTTATAAAAGTTATCGAAAAAAAAAATCGATAAAAATATTTTTATCGTTAAAAATTACATTAAAAAACTTTTTTTAAAAAGTTATCGATAAAAATGTATAAACTGTATCGATAACAATATTTCTATCGGGAAATATTACATGACAAAAATTATTTAAAAAATTTATCGCTAAAAAATGTAAAATCTGTATCAATAACAAATTTATCGAAAAATTACATTACAAAATTTATATATAAAAGTTATCGATAACAATTTTATCGAAAAAAAGTAATCGATAACAATATTTTTATCGTTAAAAATTACATTATAATACTTTTTATAAAAGCTATCGATAAAAAATGTACAAACTGTATCGTTATCCAAAAATAGTTATCGATAACAATATTTCTATGGGGCAAATTTACATTACAAAAATTTTTTTTAAATTATTAATGTTATCGATATCGAAAAATTACATTGCAAAAGTTATTTGTAAAAGTTATCGATAAAATTTTTATCGAAAAAAAAATAATCGAAAACAATATTTTTATCGTTAAAAATCGTATTAAAAAACTGTTTGAAAAAGTTATCGATAAAAATTGTTATCGATACAACAATATTTCTATCGGGAAATTTACGTTACAAAAATTATTTAAAAAAGTTATCGATGAAAATTTTATCGAAAAAAAGTAATCGACAACAATATTTTTGTCGTTAAAAATTACATTAAAAACTTTTTTATGAAAGTTATCGATAAAAAATGTATAAACTGTATAGTTAAAAATAGTTATCGATAACAATATTTTTATGGGGAAAAATTACATTACAAAAATTATTTTTAAAAATTATTGATGAAAAATATATCCATAAAAATGTTATCGATATCGAAAAATTACATTACAAAAATTATTTATAAAAATTTTATAGAAAAAAAGTAATAAATATTATAAGTAAATATTTTTATCGTTAAAAATTGCATTAAAAAAATTTTTTTTAAAAAGTTATCGATGAAAAAAGTGTAAAAACTTTATCGATAACAATATTTCTAGCGGGAAATATTAGATTAAATAAATTATTTATAAAAGTTATCGATAAAAAAATGTAAAATTTGTATCAATAAAAATTTTATCGAATAATTACAAAAATTATTTAAAAAAGTTATCGATACAAATTTTATCAAAAAAAAGTAATCGGTAACAATATTTTTATCGTTAAAACTTTTGAAATTGAAAATTACAGTACAAAAATTATTTATAAAAGTTATCAATAAAAATGTTATCGAAGGAAAATTAATTGATAAAAAATATTTTTATCGTTAAAAATTGACATTATAAAAATTTTTATAAAAGTTATCGATAACAATATTTCTATCGGGAAATATTACATTACAAAAATTATTTAAAAAGTTATCGATAAAACTTTTATCGAAAAAAAGTAATCGATAAAAATATTTTTATCGTTAAAAAGTAAAATCTGTATCAAAAAAATTATCGAAAAATTAAAAAAATTATTCATAAAAGTTATCGATACAAATTTTATCGAAAAAAAGTAATTGATAAAAATATTTTTATCGTTAAAAATTATATATTTAAGGAAGTTATCGATAAAAGTATTATCCCAAAAAAGTTATCGATAACAATATTTCTACATTACAAAAATTATTTTTAAAATTATTTATAAAAAATATATCGATAAAAATGTTATCGAAAAAAGTTATCGATAACAATATTTCTACATTACAAAAATTATTTGTAAAAATTATCGATAAAAATGTTATCGATAAAAAGTTATCGATAACAATATCTTTAAATTTATTTGTCTTTCTTGTACCGGCTTTTGTAGGAATAATATCGATAATAGCTGTTATCTCAAATAAAGCAATCGATAACACCTTTTTCTTTCTCTCACGACCATTGTAGCGTATTTCCCAATTCCCCATTGCAGGTCAGCCAAAACTTTTGTAAACTCGAAAATATCTGCATCAAGTTATTATGTAGTTAAACGTCGTTCACATTGAAACTCATGAATAAACCAGAAATTTTCTTCGTTGCTGCAGCAGCAGCAAAGTGGCGTTACCCCAACGTTCCAGCATTTGCGATTCGAGCACATTCATAAACCAAAAAAAAAAATCGGCAATACACTTCTGATTCTTTACCACATATGGACGGCAAGATCGCAAAGTATTTTTTGATGTACGTCCAGGCGGCGAACGCACGCGCCATGCTACCCAACAGCAAAAAATCACTGAAACTGGTAAAACATGTCAACGGTGCTGAGACACTGCTGCAGTTTGCTGAAAATTCTGTATTAATTTTAAAGTTTTTGTTGTTGTTAAATATTTATTTATAAATAATAAGCAAAAAAAAAATAACTTCCACTAATTTGTTGCTGTTGTCGTTTTTTTTGTTATCGTACTTAGCCACTGCTACTACCCAAGTCCAAAGCTTACAATTGCAAAGCAATATGCGCCACTCATATATTCCAACATTAAGATCAAATAAAAATCAAGATTATGTACCTGATTTCAATCACGTCAATCACAATATCAATGGCCTTAATTATTTGAGAACGAGGAAGGAAATTTTGTGACAGTTTTTTTTTTGGTGGGGAAAATTCCAGCATAAATTTGAAATCAAGGCGAATTAAAATTGCTAATTGGTGACAAATATTTTCTAGTGAAACTTTCTAGAGGAAGTACTGCTTTTCTCTTCAGATAACTTGTTATCAACAACTTTTCTATACAAACAAGTTGTTATCGACAACTTTTCTATACAGAAAACTTGTTATCGACACCTTCCCTATACAGAAAAGATTTTATCGACAACTTTCCTATACAGAAAAGATGTTATCGATAACATTTCTATACAGAAAATATGTTATCGTTAATTCTTCTATACAGAAAATATGTTATCGATAACTTTTCGATACAGAAAAGTTGTTATCGATAACTTTTCGATACAGAAAAGTTGTTATCGACAACTTTTCTCTACAGAAAAGTTGTTGTCGACAACTTTTCTACACAGAAAAGTTGTTATCGACAACTTTTCTACACAGAAAAGTTGTTATCGACAACTTTTCTACACAGAAAAGTAGTTATCGACAACTTTTCTACACAGAAAAGTTGTTATCGACAACTTTTCTACACAGAAAAGTTGTTATCGATAGCTTTTCTATACAGAAAAATCATTATCGATAGCTTTTCTATACAGAAAAATCATTATCGACAACTTTTCTATAGAGAAAAGTTATTATCGATAACTTTTCTATAGAGAAAAGTTATTATCGATAACTTTTCTATAGAGAAAAGTTATTATCGATAACTTTTCTATGGAGAAAAGTTATTATCGATAACTTTTCTATGGAGAAAAGTTATTATCGATAACTTTTCTATACAGAAAAGTTGTTATCGATAAGTTTTCTATACAGAAAAGTTGTTATCGATAAGTTTTCTATACAGAAAAGTTGTTATCGATAACTTTTCTATGCAGAAAAATTATTATCGATAACTCTTCTATACAGAAAAATTATTATCTATAACTTTTCTATACAGAAAAGTTATTATCGATAACTTTTCTATACAGAAGAGTTATTATCGATAACTTTTCTATACATAAAAGTTATTATCGATAACTTTTCTATACAGAAACGTTATTATCGATAACTTTTCTATACAGAAACGTTATTATCGATAACTTTTCTATACAGAAAAGTTGTTATCGACAATTTTTCTATACAGAAGATTTGTTATCGACAACTTTTCTATACAGAAAAGTTATTATCGACAACTTTTTCACCGAGAAAAGTTGTTATCGACAACTGTTCCACTGAGAACATTTGTTATCGACAACTTTTCTGTAGAGAAAAGTAGTTTTCGACAAATTTTCTATAAAGAAAATTTGTTATCGACAACTTTTCTACACAGAAAAGTTATTATCGATAACTTTTCTCTACAGAAAAGTTATTATCGATAACTTTTCTCTACAGAAAATTTATTATCGATAACTTTTCTCTACAGAAAAGTTATAATCGATAACTTTTCTCTACAGAAAAGTTATTACCGATAACTTTTCTCTACAGAAAAGTTATTATCGATAACTTTTCTCTACAGAAAATTTATTATCGATAACTTTTTTCTACAGAAAAGTTATTATCGATAACTTTTTTATACGGAAAAGGTGTTATCGACAACTTTTCTATACGGGAGAGGTGTTATCGGCAACTTTTCTATGCGGAAATGTTATTATTGACAACTTTTCTAGACGGAAAAGTTGTTTTCGACGCATAGGAATGTTTTATTTTAGTTTTTTTCTTAACCGAGTTTTTTAATTCTCTTTAGCTAATTACTTGCCCAGTAAGCATTCCAATGACCTCTTTCCGATTTAAAAACTTTTTGTTTTTTTTTTATTATTATACTACTTAAGCAAAATGCACACACATACACACACACACCGAAACAATAAACTCAATAAGCACTTCTCGATTTCAACCAATCTTCTTTAATCATGTCCGCTCCCCTTTCGGCTATCATAATTGTGGGTATGTTGGTGTTGCCTGTGGTAATGGTGGGCATTATACTGGCATCGATAACACGTAGCCGTTTTATACCGTACACCCTCAGGCGAGGATCGACAACAGCATCACGATCTGTGTTGGGACCCATTTTGCAGGTGCCCACCGGATGATAGATCGTCTGAGAATAGTAACGGGCCAAACACTCCCAAAAGGCGTCGCTAAGATATTCCACTTCGGGGCAGTTGCGCCAAACATAGATATTCAGAGTGGCGTTCACTCGTCTGAGTGAGGGCGACTGAGTCAGCTCATGACCAAATTTCAGGGCATCCACCTGTGGGAGAAAACAGAAATCAGTACTCAAAACCATTGAAATTGAAATAATTTTCTCTCACCATTATGGCCATGTCCAAGGGGTCGTCATAATAATTCGCATGTATCTTGGGATAAACCCTAACACTATCCGAATCTAACTCAATCCATCCTCGACTCCGGGGTCTCATCACCAAGGGTGTTATAACAAATGAGTCCTTATAGAGCACCGGTTCCACGGTGTCGGCGAAATTCGAAAACGTCACCGCCGATCCTCTTCGACCGATCATACCACCATCCGAGCCATAACTGACACTACCCAAAAAGAACTGGACATCTGGCCAATCCACTTTGGGATCTTGATATTTGCTACTCCAAAATCCCATAACCTCTGACATGGGCATGGCGTAGAAGAAGCTATCCTCCTTGTGTATGAATCTATCTACCGAATCGACATTCATCATTTCCGGCACAATATAGGACAAATGTTGTCCGGTTTCGTAATTTCGAATGGCATACGTAGCTCCCGTCGTGGAAATGTGATCCTGCAAATTGCCACCGACGCCGGGTAGATGTTTCAGAACGGGAATATTGAATTTGTTGAGTTGAGATTTTGGCCCCACCCCGGATACCATCAACAGCTGGGGACTAGCAATGGCCCCCGCCGACAAAATAACCTCCTTCGATGCTATGGCCTTATGTTTAACGCCCAGCAATTCGAAGAGTACACCTCTGGCTTCATTGATTCGTGGATCGATGATGATCTTTTCGACATAGGCATTTAAAATAATGTCTAAATTGGGTCGCCGCCACACGGGACGTATGTAACCCTTGTTGGCACTGCAGCGTAAACCATTGCGTAAGCTGCCATGGGGAATGGCAAATCCGGTTTGAGAACGTCCATTGAAATCTTGATAGGGATTTAACTGAAAGAGATAACAATTTCGATAATTAATTTTCTGTATAGAAAAGTTGTCGATAATTAATTTTCTGTATAGAAAAGTTGTCGATAACAACTTTTCCATATAGAAAAGTTATCGATAACAACTATTCTATATAGAAAAGTTGTCGATAACAACTATTCTACATAGGAAAGTTATCGATAACAACTTTTTTCTATAGAAAAGTTGTCGATAATAACTTTTTTCTATAGAAAAGTTATCGTTAATAACTTTTTTCTGTAGAAAAGTTATCGATAATAACTTTTTTCTATAGAAAAGTTATCGATAATAACTTTTTTCTATAGAAAAGTTATCGATAATAACTTTTTTCTATAGAAAAGTTATCGATAATAAATTTTTTCTATAGAAAAGTTGTCGATAATAACTTTTTTCTATAGAAAAGTTGTCGATAACAACTATTCTATATAAAAAAGTTGTCGATAACAACTATCCTATAAAGAAAAGTTGTCGATAACAACTATTCTATATAGAAAAGTTGTCGATAACAACTATTCTATATTGAAAAGTTGTCGATAACAACTATTCCATATAGAAAAGTTGTCGATAACAACTATTCCATATAGAAAAGTTGTCGATAACAACTATTCTATATAGAAAAGTTATCGATATCAACTATTCTATATAGAAAAGTTATCGATATCAACTATTCTATATAGAAAACTATTCTACATAGAAAAGTTATCGATAATTACTTTTTTCTGTAGAAAAGTTATCGATAATTACTTTTTTCTATAGAAAAGTTATCGATAATAACTTTTTTCTATAGAAAAGTTATCGATAACAACGTTCTTCTATAGCAAAGTTATCGATAACAACTTTTCCGTATCGAAAAGTTATCGATAACATTTTTTCCGTATAACAAAGTTATCGATAACAACTCTTCCGCGTAGAAAAGTTATCGATAACAACTTTTCCGTATGAAAAAGTTATCGATAACATATTTTCCGTATGGAAAAGTTATCAATAGCAACTTTTCCGTATGGAAAAGTTATCGATAACTACATTTCCGTATAGAAAAGCTGTCGATAACTACATTTCCGTATAGAAAAGCTGTCGATAACAACTTTTCCGCATAGAAAAGTTGTCGATAACAACTTTTCCGCATAGAAAAGTTGTCGATAACAACTTTTCCGCAGAGAAAAGTTGTCGATAACAACTTTTCCGCATATAAAAGTTGTCGATAACATCTTTTCCGCATAGAAAAGTTGTCGATAGCATCTTTTCCGCATAGAAAAGTTGTCGATAGCAACTTTTCCGCATAGAAAAGTTGTCGATAACAACTTTCTTCTATAGAAAAGTTATCGATAACAACTTTCTTCTATAGAAAAGTTATCGATAACAACGTTCTTCTATAGAAAAGTTATCGATAACAACTTTCTTCTATAGAAAAGTTATCGATAACAACTATTCTATATAGAAAAATTTTCGATAACAACTACTTTATATAGAAAAGTTGTCGATAACAACTATTCTAAATAGAAAAGTTATCGATAACAACTATTCTACATAGAAAAGTTATCGATAACAACTATTCTACATAGAAAAGTTATCGATAACAACTTTTATGCAAAGAAAGATTATCGATAACAACTTTTATGCAAAGAAAAATCATCGATAACAACTTTCTGTAAAGAAAAATCATCGGTATGCTCTTTTCTGAAAAGTGAAATTGTCGATAAGAATTTTCTCTATAGAGAAGTTTTCGATAACACCTTTCGATAAAAATATTTTCCCTAGAACACGCTGCCGATAACAACCTATCAATACATTACCAAATTCCTCTCTTTCACTGTCTCCATGAACACGTCCAACAACGGCGAGGGCGAACGATAATTCTCCACCGAAATTGGGCCACCATGACCATGATATGGGTCATTTTCAAAACCCGGCACACGCATATCCTCCAATTTCCGGAAATAATGTAAAATATTATCATAATTCCATCCCACGTTTCCCAACTCGGCCCAATGGTCGTAGTCGCGACGATTACCGCGAATAAACATCATGGCATTGATGCTGCTACAGCCACCCAGAACTTTGGCCCGCGGCCAATAGCATTGCTGATTCACCATCGCCAGGCAATAACGTGGCGAGTGCTCTGCCCAATATTTCCAATCCCAGGGGCTGCGTTGCAAAACGGGATATAACATGGGTATGTCGGCAAGCAAAGGTTCATCACCACCCGCTTCCAGGAGTAAAATATTCCAATGCGGTACTTCGGAGAGTCTGGCCGCCAGGGTGCAACCCGCCGAACCGCCACCAATTATTATGAAATCATAACGATCACGCAATGAGGTAATCGGTGTGGAAAAAACCCGATTGCCGGCATCAACAATGTCCGGCCGGTGGTCTTTGATGCCCTGGATAAGCATCAGCAGGACCATGGCACTGGGACCGATGGTCAGCAAGAAACGACCGAATGTCAAATAACCTTCTGGGGTTATCATTTTGAATTTTTTCACTTTGTTCTTTAGTTTTCCGATAATAGCGATTTGTTTTTATAGCTTGGCCCGCAGGCTTGAAGGTCTTAACAATGCGACTGCAAGTCTCGAACTGTTGCCGGAATTTTGAAAAAATACTTAATTCGATTTTACAATTTCCTCTTCATTTTGGCATTAAGTTTTGCCGATTCATCAATAGTTTTTTTTGCTTCCTCACATCAGAATTGGGTCGGCGTCGCAGGTTGGCATTTTTTGTCACCAAGCTTAAGAACTATTTTTTAATTGTTTTTTTTTTTTTTTGTTGTTTTTTTAATTTTAGCGTCAGTCAATATTCTTATCTTAAATATTTGAAAATTACCATGGTCAGGGTTGTTTGGAGATTTATGATTCATTGGCAATACTTTTGATGACTGGGATATAGAAATTCTAGCCGATAACAAGATTTTCTATAGAAATTTTAATCGACAACAAGATTTTCTATTGAAAACCTTATCGATAACAATGTTTTTTCTATAGAAAACTTTATCGATAACAAGATTTTCTTTAGAAAATCGTACCGATAACAAGATTTTGTATGGAAAACCTTGTCGATAACAAGATTTTCTATAGAAATCCTTTTCGATAACAAGATTTTCTGTAGAAATCCTTTTCGATAACAAGATTTTCTATAGGAAACTTTATCGATAACAAGATTTTCTATAGAAATTCTTATCGATAACAAGATTTTCTATAGAAATTCCTATCGATAACAAGATTTTCTATAGAAAATCATACCGATAACAAGATATTACATAGAAAATAGTACCGATAACAAGATTTTCTGTGGGAAATCGTACCGATAACAAGATTTTCTGTAGCAAATCATACCGATAACAATATTTTTTATAGAAAACCTTATCGATAACAGGATTATCTATGGAAAACCTTATCGATAACAAGATTTTCTATATAAAACCTTATCGATAACAAGATTTTCTTTAGAAAATCGTACCGATAACAAGATTTTCTATAGAAAATCGTACCGACTACAAAATTTTCTATAGAAAATCGTACTGATAACATGATTTTCTATAGAAAATCGTACCGATAAAAAAATTTTTTTATGGAAAATCCTACCGATAACAATATTTTTTATAGAAAACCTTATCGACATCAATGTTTTCTATAGAAAATTGTACCGATAACGGGATTTTCTATAGAAAATTGTACCGATAACGGGATTTTCTATGGAAAATCTTATCGATAACAAAATTTTCTATAGAAAACCTTATCGATAACAAAGTTTTCTATAACAATTCTTGTCGATAAAAAGATTTTCTATAGAAACTCGTACCGATAACAATATTTTCAATATAAAATCGCCCAGATAACAAGATTTTCTATAGAAAATCGTACCGATAACAAGATTTTCTATAGAAAATCGTACCGATAACAAGATTTTCTATAGAAAATCGTACCGATAACAAGATTTTCTATAGAAAATCGTACCGATAACCAGATTTTCTATAGAAAATCGAACCGATAGCAAGATTTTCTATAGAAAATCGTACCGATAACAAGATTTTCTTTCGAAAATCGTACCGATAACAAGATTGTCTGTAGCAAATCGTACCGATAACAATATTTTCTATAGAAAACCTTATCGATAAAAAGATTTTCTATAGAAACTCGTACCGATAACAAAATTTTCTTTAGAAAATCGCACCGATAACAAGATTTTCTATTGAAAATCGTCCCGATAACAAGACTTTCTTTTAAAAACATTATCGATAACAAGATAATATCTTCGATAACAAGATTTCCTTGCAGATAATGTTAACAATAATAAGATTTCCCATCTTATTGATAAGATTTTCCAAAAAAAAAATATTATCGATAACAAAATTTTCCAAAAAAAAAATTTTCCGTAACCCGATTTTCTATAGAAACTCGTAGCGATAACAACATTTCCTAGAGCTATCCTCATCGATATTATGATTTCCTACATGAAAATTGATATCGATAACAAGATTTCCAATAGAAAATCATATCGATAACAGTGTTATCTAAAAAAATCCTATCGATAACAAAAGTTGTTATAAAATTTACTATCGATACCACGATTTTCTAAAAAAATGTTCTTCCGTGAATCTTATCGACAGCATATTTATAGGAAATCTCTCCGATAACTCGATTTTCTCTTACAAATATTTTCGATAACTAGATTTTCTACATAAAAATTGTATAGATAACAATATTTTCTTTAGAAAATCTCATCGTAAGAAATTCGTAACGATAACAGAACCTTTTTATTTAATTAAGTTACGTCCAAGTGGGTACATCTCAATAATCCTAAAAGTATGCACCACATTTTGACCATATTTTGCCTCCCTTGGTTTGAATAAAAGAAAGCAGTGAATTTTTTTAACATTTTATATATTTTGCTATAACAAGAATTTAAAATACAGTAGAATTCCCATAATTCGTAAGCGGATAAATTGCGGATAGTTTAAAAATTATCTCCCCTACGAATTATTCGAATTCAACTGTACTTCCTTCCCACCTCCAATTTTCTAATCCCTCGCCAAATCATCCAATATCATTTGGGCACCCTTTTCGGCAATCATGATGGTGGGACCATTGGTGTTGCCACTGGTAATGTTGGGCATAATACTGGCATCGATGACACGCAACCCCTTAACGCCGTGGACCTTCAACTCGGAATCGACCACAGCCGAGGGATCGGATGATGGGCCCATTTTACATGTACCCGCAGCATGCCAAGCACTGATCATAAAGTATCGAATGTAGCAATACCAATAGTCATCGGAATCGAACTCATGCACATCACATTCCGGCAAGGGCACACGTATGTATTCCAGACCAAAGTGGTGGAACACCTCTGTCTTCTCCAGGGAGCGTACAAAACGCACATAACGCAGCAGCGTTTGGCGATCTTCCTCCACGCTGGCATAGTTGTTGTGGATCTCGGGGCCCTTTCCGAATTCGGGATATTTCAATTTGATATAACCCCGCGACTTGGGTTTTATGAGCAGGCCCTGTAGCTGTAAGGTTGTCTGATTCTCAGCCAACTCCAAAAATTTCTCCACCAACTCCTCGCGGAATTGCAAAAATTCAAACACATTCGACTCCCTGGTGGGCTGATCAATGCCCGACACAATCATAACATCGCTTTTGTTTTGCAAGTTCTGCGAAGCCTGGGAATTAATGAAGCCCACCAGATTTGGATTCGATGCCAAGGACCCGTTTTGATAGATCAAATATTGAAAGGTGTTCTCAACGCTGTCGCCTTGCGCCAGATTGGGAATGTTTTTGGTAAACCTATAGGTCATGGACATCATGCCGTGATCCTGCAAATTTTGGCCCACTGCCAGGTTGCGGATGCAGGGTATCTTAAATTGCCTCAAATTCCCACAGGGCCCGATGCCGGAGTGCATTAAAATCTGGGGACTATTAAAGGTGCCAGCACTCAAAATAATCTCCTTGCGGGCCTGTATCCTCAGAACCTTATTATTTCCCAACAAAACTTCCACGCCCGCTGCCTTCTGCTTGCCATTGAAGAGGATTTTGCGCACCACAGCATTCTTGGCCACATGCAGATTATTACGATGGCGGGCCACCTTACCCAAATAAGTCTTACCCGTACTCATGCGCCGACCACGATCCACGGTTCCCAGGATGTCATGTTTGAAACCCAAACTCTTGCTTTCATACCCCATTTCCACCTCTTCGGTGGCATTTTCCAAAATATTTCGCAGCGTGTAAAACTTTTCCGGCCTCAAATAGTTATTCACCACCAACGAACCCTTGGGTTCCGTTTCGGTCGATTCATCTCGGGTGGCTTTCACGAAATATTCATGAATATTTTCCCATGACCATCCGGGGTTACCTTGACTCTGCCATTCGTCATAATCGGAGGGACGTCCAACCAAAAATACATTGCCATTAATGCCGGCTGTGCCACTTATCATTTTGCCTCGCAGCCAAAAGCAGCGACCATCTTTCATGGCCTTACAGCTCGTCGGGTTCGGTTCGGCATAATCGTTCCATGAGTATTCGGTTTTTTTTGCAATAAATTGGATAAAATATATACCTGGAATGAAAGATGAATAGATTTTTTGTGAAAACCTATATCGATAATAAGATTTTCTAAAGAAAATCCTGTCGATAACAAAGAAAATCTTTTCGATAACATAGAAAAACTTGTCGATAACAAGATTTTCTATAGAAAACCTTATCGATAACAAGATTTTTTATCGAAAAACTTATCGATAACAAGGTTTTCTATAGAAAAACTTATCGATAACAAGATTTTCTATAGAAAACCTTATCGATAACAAGATTTTCTACAGAAAACTTTATCGATAACAGGATTTTTTATAAAAAATTGTACCGATAACATAATTTTCTATAGAAAATCGCGTCGATAACAAGATTTTCTATAGAAAATCGTACCGATAACATGATTTTCCATAAAATATCGTACCGATAACAAGATTTTCTATAGAAAAATAAATTCGATAACATGATTTTCTATAGAAAAACGTGTCGATAACAAGATTTTCTATAGAAAATTGTATCGATAACAAGATTTTCTATCGAAAACCTTATCGATAACAAGATTTTCCGTAGAAAATCGTACCGATAACAAGATTTTGTATGGAAAACCTTATCGATAACAAGATTTTCTATAGAAAACTTTATCGATAACAAGAGTTTCTATAGAAAACCTTATCGATAACAGGATTTTCTATAGAAAATCGTGCCGACAACAGGAATTTCTATAGAAAATCGTACCGATAACAAGATTTTCTATAGAAAATCGTATCGATAACAAGATTTTCTATAGAAAATCTTACCGATAACATGATTTTCTATAGAAAATCGTACCGATAACAAGATTTTCTATAGAAAATCGTATCGATAACATGATTTTCTATAGAAAATCGTACCGATAATATGATTTTTTATAGAAAACCGTTTCGATAACAAGATTTTCTATAGAAAATCGTTCCGATAACAATATGTTCTATAGAAAATCGTACCGATAACAAGATTTTCTATAGAAAATCTTACCGATAACAAGATTTTCTATAGAAAACTTTATCGATAACAATAGTTTCTATAGAAAACCTTATCGATAACAGGATTTTCTATAGAAAATCGTGCCGACAACAGGAATTTCTATAGAAAATCGTACCGATAACAAGATTTTCTATAGAAAATCGTATCGATAACAAGATTTTCTATAGAAATTTTTGTCGATAACAAGATTTTCTATAGAAAATCGTACCGATAACAAGATTTTCAAATAGAAAATCGTATCGATAACAAGATTTTCTATAGAAAATCGTATCGATAACAAGATTTTCTATAGAAATTTTTGTCGATAACAAGATTTTCTATAGAAAATCGTACCGATAACAAGATTTTCAAATAGAAAATCGTACAGATAACATGATTCTCTATAGAAAATCGTACCGATAACAAGATTTTCTAGAGAAAAAAAATTTCGATAACAACAAAATCGTACATATAACAAGATTTTCTATAGAAAATCGTACCGATAATAAGATTTTCTATAGAAAACCTTATCGATAACAAGATTATCTATAGAAAATCGTACCGATAACAATATTTTCTATGGAAAATCGTACCGATAACAAAATTTTCTATAGAAAATCGATAGAAATTCTTGTCGATAACAACATTTTTCTTAGAAAATCCTGATAGATAAGTGCTACCGATAGCATTATTTACTCCAGAAATTCTTATCGTTATCGAGATTTTCTATAGAAATCCATGTCGAACGCATGTTTTTTATAAAAAAAAATACTTGTTGATTTGCAACTTAACCATGTGCCTGATAGTCACAACAATAACAACTGCATATCGATAACAAAAACAATATTTTCGAATTGTTTTTGCCATAGGCAAATACAATGGCTTGGCTATCAAAATAATCGAAACCTGTTCAAAAAATATTTTCGATGACCTTCACAGTTTGTTTTTTTTTTTTTTTTTTTTTCTTAATAGCTCTGTCGCATTAATTATTTCTTCTTCTTAGTTACCTCTGAAAGCGAAGGAGGATCACCACCTGCCTCCAAGACCAACACACTGACATTGGGATTTTCGCTGAGGCGACTGGCAACAACGGAGCCGGCATTACCAGCCCCAACCACAATGTAATCGTGTGCAATCGGCCAGCGCTGAGTCAACAGTTCTTCGCCATAATCCGATGGCCACATTTGGGGATTGGTTAAATCATCTCTGGCTGCCGTTAAATTTTGAAATAAATCCTCAACCAGATTATCGAACAGCTGGGCATTGCTCACCACGGCCACATTGCCACGAATGGCCCATAGCAGGAGGAGAATCAAAGCTAGTTACAAATACAACAACAACAACAACAAAAATCAAATAACTTTCTAATGTTTTGATTTGTTGACACAGAAAACTTTCTAGGGTTCGTTGACCTTACCGATCTTGTGCGGCATCGCTCGAAAACAATGTGTATACTTCTCGTATTCTGTTCCCACTGAAATCCCAGAAGCTACTGATCACCGGAATATCAAAATGGTTATAATTTATTGAAAAAAATTTGTGTTCATTTTGAAACGAAACAAAAAACACTGCGTTTCGATAATTACACCAACAATAACCCATTCGCAGCAGCAACCCCTCCCTTGCCCTTATGCTTGAGTTTAATTAACCGCGCCGCGTCGTTTTATTTGAATTGCAATCGAAAATAAAATTTTAATGTTTCGCATTATCACCTGTCGCTGCCGGGGCGGGCTGATAACATGGCCAGCTTTCAATCTCTCTTTCTTTCGCTGCCTTGGCTTGCCTGGCCCTATCATTGTTTGTTTTTGTTATTGTTCTTGTCGTTCGCAGAGTTTATTTTCTCCGGAAATAGGCAACTCAACAGAATAGGCTGTTCGTTTTATTGAAACAACAAACAAAAAAGCTTTCCGTTTGTTGTAACTTAACAGAAAGCTGTAAAAGCTTGCAACTGGGATGTAAAGTAACACTGGGGTATAAAAGAAAGTTTACATTCATTGCCGAACAGGAAAAAAGTTTTAATACAGAAAACAATATTCCATTACAGAATATAGGTTATCGACATTTTTTCTCTTAGAAAAAATTTTTATTTTTGTTATCGAAAATTTATCGATGCGGAAAAATTGTTATCGACAATTTTTCCATACAGAAAAATTGTTATCCATAATTTTTCTATGCAGACCAGTTGTTATCGACAACATTTCTATACAGACAAGTTGTTATCGACAATTTTTCTACATCGAAAAGTTGTTATCGACAACTTTTCCATACCGAAAAGTTGTTATCGACAATGTTTCTATAAAAATTATTATCAAAAATATAAAATTTTCTATAAAAATTGTTATCGAAAATTTTTCTATAGAAAATTGTTATCGAAAAAATTTTCTATAGAAAATTGTTATCGAAAAAATTTTCTATAGAAAATTGTTATCGAAAAAATTTTCTATAGAAAATTGTTATCGAAAAAATTTTCTATAGAAAATTGTTATCGAAAAAATTTTCTATAGAAAATTGTTATCGAAAAAATTTTCTATAGAAAATTGTTATCGAAAAAATTTTCTATAGAAAATTGTTATCGAAAAAATTTTCTATAGAAAATTGTTATCGAAAAAATTTTATCGACAATTTTTCCTATACGGAAAAAAATTGTTAGCGAAAATTTTTCTAGACGGAAAAATTGTTATCGACAACTTTTCTCTACGCAAAATATGTTATCGACATCTTTTCTCTACGGAAAATTTGTTATCGACAACTTTTCTATACCGAAAAGTTGTTATCGACAACTTTTCTATACCGAAAAGTTGTTATCGACAACTTTTCTATACCGAAAAGTTGTTATCGAAAACTTTTCTCTACGGAAGAGTTGTTATCGACAACTTTTCTCTACGGAAGAGTTGTTAGCGACAACTTTTCTCTACGGAAGAGTTGTTAGCGACAATTTTTCGATACAGAAATATTGTAATCGACAATTTTTCGATACGGAAAAATTGTTATCGACAATTTTTCGATACGGAAAAATTGTTATCGACAATTTTTTGATACGGAAAAATTGTAATCGACAATTTTTTGATACGGAAAAGTTGTTATCGACAACTTATCTCTACGGAAAAGTTGTTATCGACAACTTTTCTTTACGGAAGACTTGTTATAGATAACTTTTCTCTAAGGAAGAATTGTTATCGACAACTTTTCTCTACAATTTTTCGATACGGAAAAATTGTTATCGACAATTTTTCGATGCGGAAAAATTGTAATCGACAACTTATCTCTACGGAAAAGTTGTTATCGACATTTTTTCTCTACGAAAAAGTTATTATCGACCACTTTTCTCTACGGAAAAGTTGTTATCGACAGCTTTTCTATACGGAAAAATTGTAATGGATTATTTTCCTGTACCGAAAAATTGTAATCGACTCTTTTTCTATACCGATAAATTGTTATCGGAAATGTTTATTAAAAAAATTGTTATCGACAATTTTTCCTAAAAAAAATGGTAACGACAACTTTTTCAAACGGAAAAATTGTTATCGACAACTTTTTCAAACGGAAAAATTGTTATCGACGACTTTTTCAATCGGAAAAATTGTTATCGACAAATTTTTCAAAAGGAAAAATTGTTACCGACTCTTTTTCTATACCAAAAAATTATTATCTGAAATTTTTCTAAAAAAAATTGTTATCGGAAAATTTTCCAAAAAAAAATTGTTATCGGAAAATTTTCTAAACGAAATTGTTATCGGAAAATTTTCTAAACGAAATTGCTATCGGAAATTTTCTAAACGAAATTGTTATCGGAAATTTTTCTAAAAAAAATTGTTATCAACAAATTTTCTATAGAAAATTGTTATCGAAAATTGTCTATAGAAAATTGTTATCGAAAAATTGTTATAGAAAATTGTTATCGAAAAATTGTCTATAGAAAATTGTTATCGAAAAATTGTCTACAGAAAATTGTTATCGAAAAATTGTCTATAGAAAATTGTTATCGAAAAATTGTCTATAGAAAATTGTTATCGAAAAATTGTCTATAGAAAATTGTTATCGAAAAATTTTCTATAGAAATTTTTTATCGAAAAATTGTCTATAGGAAATTGTTATCGAAAAATTGTCTTTAGAAAATTGTTATCGGAAAGTCTTTTATCGACAATTTTTCGATACAGAAAAATTGTTATCGACAATTTTTCCTATACGGAAAAAATTGTTATCGACAATTTTTCGATACAGAAAAATTGTTATCGACAATTTTTCCTATACGGAAAAAATTGTTGTCGACAATTTTTCCTATACGGAAAAAATTGTTATCGACAATTTTTCCTATACGGAAAAAATTGTTATCGACAATTTTTCCTATACGGAAAAAATTGTTATCGACAATTTTTCCTATACGGAAAAAATTGTTATCGACAATTTTTCCTATACAGAAAAAATTGTTATGAACATTTTTCTATACAAAAACAGTTGTTATCGACAACTTTTCTGTGAGGAAAAATTGTTATCGAAAACTTTTCCTATACAAAAAAATTGTTATCGACAATTTTTCCTATACGGAAAAAAATTGTTATCGATAACTTTTCTTTGGTGAAAAAATGTTATCGAGAACTTTTCTATAGAAAAATATGTTTTTCGGAATTTTTTGCCGATTTATTGCAATGCTTAAGTACTTCAAACTACAAGTGGCATGTGCAGTCATCATCATTAGCTGACGTAAACTTTCAAAATAATCAAATAGATATGAACTGCATGTTAGAGCGAACTCGAAAAGTGCAAATAAATTTCTATTGCTTTTATGTCATAACACATTTCTACGGTTCATTGACCTAACCAGTTTGGTTGGGATTTTTTTTTTTTTTTTTTTTTTTTTTTTTTGAGATAAGTAGTTATTGATTTGTATTATTTAAGGGAGGCACAAAAAATCACAAAAGCCATGACGTTTATTGTTATCGATTTTTTTCTAAAACACCAAAAGTTGGTCTAAACGTCTTTGGAATATTTTCGAATCGACCCAATTTCGTTTCAAGATTATCATCAATAACTTTTCAACCAACTATTATTTTCGACTACTTTTTTTAGTCCGATTGGTTATTAATTATTTTTATATATCATCTAGTAGTTTTATTATCTGTAAGTGTTATTCTCGATAAGTGCCAACTCATCCTGAAATGCTGCTGTTAGATTTTTCAAGTTATCAGAATCGTGGGGAGTGCGTCGTGGTAGGGCAAAATCAAAGCTGGCAACAAATTTTTCGATTGTTTTTATTTCACAAGGCCACTTCGGGGTTCATTGACCCCCCAGCGAAATTGTTAGAAATTATTAGAAGTTCGAAGAGGTGATATTTTGTACTGCGTTCAAACTGCAATTGCAAAAGATAGAGGGATCGCATGAAGGCGGTTATTTTTTATTTTTTTTTTTCTATTATTTTATTATTTTAAATTATTTTCTAAGCAAAAGAAAATGCTGGAGACAATTTTCGAACACGTCTGTAATCTAGATTAAAAAATTGAAAAAAAAATCATTTTTTTTTTTAATTTTAGAATTTGAAATATTTTCCATTATCACCTGGCGCTTGGCTGATCGCCTTTTTTTTTTTTTAATTTTAGAATTTGAAATATTTTCCATTATCACCTGGCGCTTGGCTGATCGCCTTTTTTGCGTCAACTTTTAATCTCTCCTGCCCTATCTTTGTTTTTTTTTTATTGTTGTTCACAGAGTTCATTCTCTCCGGAAATAGGCAACTCATCCAACATAGGCTGCTCGTTCTGTTATTGAAACAACAGAAAGCTTTACATTGTATTATTGTAACTTAACAGAAAGCTGTAAAAGCTTTGGACTGTAATGTTGAACCACATTCGGGATATAAAAAAAATTACATGCTTTTACAAATACCCAATTTTCAGGACGATTTTTGGTGGGTCCGCTTGCAAGGAACACAAATATGTCGAATCAAGACCTAAGGATTACAATTCGAATCCAAGTTTGCCATTTTGTTGTTGGAAATTTTTTTTTTTTTTTTTTTTTTTGCAACGCAACTTAATTTTCCGTCATTTTTCCCCTGCAATTGGCCATTATCTTCAACAGGGTGCTATCTTTGAGTGTTTTTATCTACAAGTGTCAGCTCATCTCTTGATGGCGTTAAATTAAAAAAAAATCGAAAAGATGAACATTGCATGCCAGGGCAAAATATCTATCGCTTTTATAACACCACACACACCACAGTTCATTGACCTCCACGACTTCGTGGGAAATTCCTCGAATATAGAAAAATTGTCGATAACAACAATATTTCTTTAGAAAAATTGTGTCGATAACACAATATTTTCATAGAAAAATGTCGATAACACAATATTTTCTATAGAAAAATTGTCGATAACACAATATTTCTATATAGAAAAATTGTCGATAACACAATATTTCTATATAGAAAAATTGTCGATAACACAATATTTCTATATAGAAAAATTGTCGATAACACAATATTTCTATATAGAAAAATTGTCGGTAACAACAATTTTCTCTATAGAAAAATTTGTCGATAACACAATTTTTCCATAGAAAAATTCTCGATAACACAATATTTCTCTATAGAAAAATTGTCGATAACACAACTTTTCTCCATTGAAAAATTGTCGATAACACAACTTTTCTCCATTGAAAAATTGTCGATAACAACAACTTTTCTCCATAGAAAAATTGTCGATAACACAACTTTTCTCTACAGAAAAGTTGTCGATAACAACAATTTTCTCTATAGAAAAATTGTCGATAACACAAGTTGTCTATAAAAAAATTGTCGATAACAACAATTTTCTCATAGAAAAATTGTCGATAACAACAATATTTCTATATAGAAAAATTGTCGATAACAACAATTTTCTCTATAGAAAAATTGTCGATAACAACAATTTTCTCTATAGAAAAATTGTCGATAACAACAATTTTCTCTATAGAAAAATTGTCGATAACAACAATTTTCTCTATAGAAAAATTGTCGATAACACAATTTTTCTACATAGAAAAGTTGTCGTTAACACAATTTTTCTACATAGAAAAGTTGTCGTTAACAAAAATTTTCCTTACAAAATTTATCGATAACACAACTTTTCTCTATAGAAAAATTGTCGATAACACAATATTTTCATAGAAAAATTGTCAATAATACAAAATTCTCATAGAAAAATTGTCGATAACAACAATATTTCTATAGAAAAGTTGTCGATAACAGCAATTTTCTATATAGAAAAATTGTCGATAATACAAATTTTCCATAGAAAATTTATCGATAACACAAAATTTCTATAGAAAATTATCGATAACACAATATTTCTATAGCAAAATTGTCTATAACACAATATTTCTATAGGAAAATTGTCGATAACACAATATTTCTATAGGAAAGTTGTCGATAACACAATATTTCTATATAGAAAAATTGTCGATAACAACAATTTTCTATAAAAAACTTGTCGATAACACAATATTTCTATATAGAAAAATTGTCGATAACAACAATTTTCTATATAGAAAAATTGTCGACAACAACAATTTTCTATATAGAAAAATTGTCGATGACAACAATTTTCTATATAAAAAAATTGTCGATAACAACAATTTTCTATGTAGAAAAATTGTCGATAACAACAATTTTCTATAGAAAAGTTGTCGATAACAACAATTTTCAATAGAAAAGTTGTCGATAACAACAATTTTCTATAGAAAAGTTGTCGATAACAACAAAATTCCATGGAAAAGTTGTTGATAACACAACTTTTCCATGGAATATTGAAAGTTGTCGATAACACAAGAAAAGTTGTCGATAACACAACTTTTCCCTAGAAAAATTGTCGATAACAAAACTTTTCCCTAGAAAAGTTGTCGATAACACAAGTTTTCGATAGAAAAGTTGTCGATAACATCAATTTTCTATAGAAAAATTGTCGATAACAACAATTTTCTCTATAGAAAAATTGTCGATAACAACAATTTTCTCTATAGAAAAATTGTCGATAACAACAATTTTCTCTATAGAAAAATTGTCGATAACAACAATTTTCTCTATAGAAAAATTGTCGATAACAACAATTTTCTCTATAGAAAAATTGTCGATAACAACAATTTTCTCTATAGAAAAATTGTCGATAACAACAATATTTCTATATAGAAAAATTGTCGATAACAACAATATTTCTATATAGAAAAATTGTCGATAACAACAATATTTCTATATAGAAAAATTGTCGATAACACAATATTTCTATATAGAAAAATTGTCGACAACACAACTTTTCTCTATAGAAAAGTTGTCGACAACACAACTTTTCTCTATAGAAAAGTTGTCGACAACACAACTTTTCTCTATAGAAAAGTTGTCGACAACACAACTTTTCTCTATAGAAAAGTTGTCGACAACACAACTTTTCTCTATAGAAAAGTTGTCGACAACACAACTTTTCTCTATAGAAAAGTTGTCGACAACACAACTTTTCTCTATAGAAAAGTTGTCGACAACACAACTTTTCTCTATAGAAAAGTTGTCGACAACACAACTTTTCTCTATAGAAAAGTTGTCGACAACACAACTTTTCTCTATAGAAAAGTTGTCGACAACACAACTTTTCTCTATAGAAAATTGTCGACAACACAACTTTTCTCTATAGAAAATTGTCGACAACACAACTTTTCTCTATAGAAAAGTTGTCGATAACAACAATTTTCTCTATAGAAAAATTGTCAATAACACAAAAAAGTTGTCGATAACAACAATATTTCTATAGAAAAATTGTCGATAACAACAATATTTCTATAGAAAAATTGTCGATAACAACAATATCTCGATAGAAAAATTGTCGATAACAACAATATTTCGATAGAAAAATTGTCGATAACAACAATATTTCGAAAGAAAAATTGTCGATAACAACAATATTTCGAAAGAAAAATTGTCGATAACAACAATATTTCGATAGAAAAATTGTCGATAACAACAATATTTCGATAGAAAAATTGTCGATAACAACAATATTTCTATATACAAAAATTGTCGATAACAACAATATTTCTATATAGAAAAATTGTCGATAACACAATATTTCTATATAGAAAAATTATCGATAACTCAATATTTCTATATAGAAAAATTGTCGATAACACAACTTTTCTCTATAGAAAATTGTCGACAACACAACTTTTCTCTATAGAAAATTGTCGACAACACAACTTTTCTCTATAGAAAATTGTCGACAACACAACTTTTCTCTATAGAAAAGTTGTCGATAACAACAATTTTCTCTATAGAAAAATTGTCAATAACACAAAAAAGTTGTCGATAACAACAATATTTCTATAGAAAAATTGTCGATAACAACAATATTTCTATAGAAAAATTGTCGATAACAACAATATCTCGATAGAAAAATTGTCGATAACAACAATATCTCGATAGAAAAATTGTCGATAACAACAATATTTCGAAAGAAAAATTGTCGATAACAACAATATTTCGAAAGAAAAATTGTCGATAACAACAATATTTCGATAGAAAAATTGTCGATAACAACAATATTTCGATAGAAAAATTGTCGATAACAACAATATTTCTATATACAAAAATTGTCGATAACAACAATATTTCTATATAGAAAAATTGTCGATAACACAATATTTCTATATAGAAAAATTATCGATAACTCAATATTTCTATATAGAAAAATTGTCGATAACACAACTTTTCTCTATAGAAAAGTTGTCGATAACACAACTTTTCTCTATAGAAAAGTTGTCGATAACACAACTTTTCTCTATAGAAAAGTTGTCGATAACACAACTTTTCTCTATAGAAAAGTTGTCGATAACACAACTTTTCTCTATAGAAAAGTTGTCGATAACACAACTTTTCTCTATAGAAAAGTTGTCGATAACACAACTTTTCTCTATAGAAAAGTTGTCGATAACACAATGTTTCTATATAGAAAAATTGTCGATAACACAATGTTTCTATATAGAAAAATTGTCGATAACAGCAATTTTCTATATAGAAAAATTGTCGATAACACAAATTTTCCATAAAAATTTATCGATAACACAAAATTTCTATAGAAAATTATCGATAACACAATATTTCTATATAGAAAAATTATCGATAACACAATATTTCTATACAGAAAAATTGTCGATAACACAATATTTCTATATAGAAAAATTGTCGATAACACAATATTTCTATATAGAAAAATTGTCGATAACACAATATTTCTATATAGAAAAATTGTCGACAACACAATATTTCTATATAGAAAAATTGTCGATAACAACAATATTTCTATATAGAAAAATTGTCGATAACAACAATATTTCTATAGAAAAATTGTCGATAACAACAATATTTCTATATAGAAAAATTGTCGATAACAACAACTTTTCTCCATAGAAAAATTGTCGATAACACCAATATTTCTTTAGAAAAGTGGTCGACAACACCAATCGATAACAACAATTTTTTCTAGATAAGTTGTCGATAACAACAATTTTCTATAGAAAAGTTGTCGATAACAACAATTTTTTTTATAGAAAAGTGGTCGATAACAACAATTTTCTATAGAAAAAATAAGTCCGTAACAACAATTTTCTATAGAAAAAATATGTTGATAACAACAATTTTCTATAGAAAAAATATGTCGATAACAACAATTTTCTATAGAAAAAATATGTCGATAACAACAATTTTCTCTATAGAAAAATTGTCGATAACAACAATTTTCTCTATAGAAAAATTGTCGATAACAACAATATTTCTAAAAAAATTGTCGATAACACAATATTTCTATATAGAAAAATTGTCGATAACACAACTTCTCTTTAGAAAAGTTATCGATAACACCAATTTTTCTTTAGAAAAGTTGTCGATAACACCATTATTTTTCCAGAAAAATTGTCGATAACACAACTTTTCTTTAGAAAAGTCATCGATTTTCTCTACAAGATTTGTCGATAACTCAGATTTTCTCCTTAGAATGTTGTCGATATCAAAAAAAAAAAATTTTTTTTCAATATTTTTTTTTTATTTTAATAATTTACTTGTGTTTCTTATGTTTAAATGCTAATTGCCTTAACTTAGTTAATGTTTAATATCATAAAATTTAAATTTACTTGTCAATAAAATTTGCTTAAATAAATAATTCTTATTTGTTTATATAAATTTCTAAACTATGACAGGCACACTAAATTTATTTTTTCATTTGGTTTCACATAACTTAAAAATCTAAATCTAAAAATAATATTTCATTCACTGGTCTCATTTCTTCGCCTTCCCTTTCCACCCCCACCCCCGCTCTACACCACGGTGTTTTTAATCCAAAATTCCTTGATCATGTCGGAGCCTTTTTCGGCAATCATAATGACCGGAGCATTGGTATTGGCACTGACCAAATTGGGCATGATACTGGCATCGATGACGCGCAGGCCACGAATACCATAGACTCTCAGCTGGGGATCTACCACAGCTTCGGGGTCCCAATAGGGACCCATTTTACATGTGCCGACTGGGTGATAAATTGTCACTGTATAATGCCGGATCATACACTCCCAATAAGGATCGGTGAATAATTGTAGGTGCTGGCATCCAGGCCACTTGATGGCCGAGAGTCGGGAACCAAACCTCTGCATAGCCTTCGTTCTCGAAAGGGCCACGGCAATTTTCACCCCTTCTATCAGAGTTTTGGTGTCGAAATCATCTGTCAAATAGTTGGGTATAATGTAGGGATAATCGAAGGGATTTCCGGATCGAAGTTTTATGGAACCCTTGCTGCGTGGCCTCAACAACATGGGTATAATGCTCCAGACATCGTGATTATTGATTTTCTCAAAGACCGTACGATAAAAGGCATCTGTCAGGCCATGGGCCTTGCGCAGCTGATTGCCGCCATCGGAATTTGTAGAGCCGGAGACAAAATGAAATTCAATATCCGGCCAGTCCAGAGAGGTGTTGGCATATTTGGTATTAACAAAGGCCAGACCTTCCACCCCGCCCAAAATGGTCAAGGGGCCCTGACCAAAGACAGCATATTGCAACACCGTGGACATGGAGTGGAATCGATTCTCCACAATCGACACCGGTTGGTTAACCATGAAGGTCAAACCTCCCAGGCCAATGTGATCCTGCATATTCTCACCCACATTCAGCTCCTTGATGACCGGTATGCGATGCTTGGCCAATTCCTTGCGCGGCCCAATACCCGATAACATCAGCAATTGGGGCGAGTTCACCGAACCTCCCGACAAAATCACCTCCTTTTTGGCCCGAACATGATAGAGCTTTTGATCCTTTACGAACTCCACACCAAAGGCCAATTTGCTGACAGGATCAATCATGATTCTTGTGACATGCGAGTTCATGGAAATGTGTAAATTGGGTCTTAGGCGAGCCGGTCTCAAAAAGGCCTTGGCAGTACTGCAACGACTGCCCCGCCTGGTAGTACCCTGGGCAATCATAAAGCCAGCCTGTTTCTCACCATTCAAATCACGATTTTCATAACCCATTTCCACACCAGCCTCCACAAAACTTGCCGCCAAGGGTGTGTGATAGGGCGCCTCTCCCACCGTCAAATAACCACCCGTCGAGTGATAAGGGGTACTGGCCAAATAGGGATTGGTATTGTCCTCAGATTTCTTGAAATAATACAAGGCATCACGATAACCCCAACCAGGGTTGCCCAAGGCCTCCCAGCTATCATAATCATGTTTACTGCCTCGAAGATACAGCATATAATTCAGAACACTGGAACCACCCAGGACCTTGCCCCTTGGCCAGTTGCAGCGACCACCATTCATGGCTAAAAAAAAACGGGGGAAAAATTAGAAAATTTTCCCAACCAAATATCCTCTCCATACATACCCAGACATGTGGTACCCGATGGCTCCGTTTTATATTTCCAATCCATTTTACTTAGCTGCAAATATCCCGCCATCAGTGGAACATCCGATATTTCCGTTTCATCACCGCCCGCCTCCAATAGCAACACATTCCAATTTTCCACCTCGGTCAAACGATTCGCCACCACCGCCCCAGCCGATCCCGCTCCTATCACTATGAAATCATAATGATCCCTTATTTCATCTCCGGCCGTGTCTATGGGCTTAGATTCTGGATCCATAATTTCTTCATATTGGAAATAGGCTATGGCCGCCAGTAGGGTGGGTATGAACCAGCTATTGCTGGTGGCCGCCGTCAAAGCGCCACCAACCACCGCCGCCGTATTGGCTATTGCACTCATTTTGTTGTTGTGGAGAATTACTCTTCAGGAATGGGGTTTGTAAACTACTCTCAGAGAGATTAACTGATTTGAGAGTACATATCCCAAAGAGAGCTGAAAGGAAAGAAAGAGAATTCATTGTTAATAAGAGAGAGTAAATCAACGGAAAAGTTGTAAAAACAACCTGTTATCGACAACTTTTCTATGCAGAAAAGTTAATATCGATAACTTTTCTATGCAGAAAAGTTAATATCGATAACTTTTCTATGCAGAAAAGTTAATATCGATAACTTTTCTATGCAGAAAAGTTAATATCGATAACTTTTCTATGCAGAAAAGTTAATATCGATAACTTTTCTATGCAGAAAAGCTATTATCGATAACTTTTCTATGCAGAAAAGTTATTATCGATAACTTTTCTATGCAGAAAAGTTATTATCGATAACTTTTCTATGCAGAAAAGTTATTATCGATAAGTTTTCTATACAGAACAGTTTCTATACAGAAAAGTTATTATCGATAACTTTTCTATACAGAAAAGTTGCTATCGATAACTTTTCTATACAGAAAAGTTATTATCGATAACTATTCTATACGGAAAAGTCATTATCGATAACTTTTCTATACGGAAAAGTCATTATCGATAACTTTTCTATACGGAAAAGTCATTATCGATAACTTTTCTATACGGAAAAGTCATTATCGATTACTTTTCTATACGGAAAAGTCATTATCGATAACTTTTCTATACGGAAAAGTCATTATCGATAACTTTTCTATACGGAAAAGTCATTATCGATAACTTTTCTATACGGAAAAGTCATTATCGATAACTTTTCTATACAGAAAAGTTATTATCGATAACTTTTCCATACAGAAAAGTTATTATCGATAACTTTTCCATACAGAAAAGTTATTATCGATAACTTTTCCATACAGAAAAGTTATTATCGATAACTTTTCTATACGGAAAAGTCATTATCGATAACTTTTCTATACAGGAAAGTTATTATCGATAACTTTTCTATACGGAAAAGTTATTATCGATAACTTTTCTATGCAGAAAAGTTTTTATCAATAGTTTTTTAATACAGATTAGGTATTATCGATAATTTTTTAAAACAGAAAAACTCTTTTTGATAACTTTAAAAAAATATGTGTCCAGCAAATGTAAATTATTATTTTCAATTCAAAATTTCATAATAAGTGCGACTCCAAAAAAATCCCAAAATAAAAATAAACATAACCACACCTGATGTTCCCATAAAAAAATCAATAAAAAGTCTGACCTCTTTTACCCAACCGATTTATTATTCCCGGCTCATCCTTATCACAGCAAGTCAGTTGCATTATTGTGCGCTATTGTTAAGCAATATATCCGGAATTTTTAAGTGCCAAAAGTCAAACTTGTTACTTTTATTCAATCACCCTCATTTCGGTCGCCACCAAACCTTTGAACAATCACGTTACCCATAAACCTCAGCTGAAATTGTGTCATCGAGACCATGCAAGTAGTCGAAATACGAAATTCAGCGTGTTCATCTAAACGGTAACATAGGCTTGGCAAACTACAAGTGTTCGGCTACGTGCATTGTCCAGATTTTCTAATTAATATTCCAGGGACACTTTTCTTTGTCACTAAAATTAAATAATGGTGGGTGGTTTGTTGTTGTTGTTGTTGCAATGTAAACGTTACAGACGTCTTACTATTTAATCACGTTTCTATTATACAAACTAAAACCAAGAAGTTATTTTGTGAATAAATAATATGAAGCAAAAAAGGAATTTTTATACAGCAACAAAAAGCGTTCCATGGTATCATATTGTATAGAAAAGTTGCCGATAATCACATTTCTGTATAGAAAAGTTATCGATAATAAATTTTCTGTATAGAAAAGTTATCGATAATAAATTTTCTGTATAGAAAAGTTATCGATAATGGCTTTTCTGTATAGAAAACTTAATGATAATAACATTTCTGTATTGAAAATTTATCGAAAATAACTTTCTTGTAGAAAAAGTGTATCGATAATAACTTTTCTATATAGAAAAGTTATCGGTAATAACTTTTCTATATAGAAAAGTTATCGATAATAAATTTTCTGTATAGAAAAGTTATCGATAATAAATTTTCTGTATAGAAAAGTTATCGATAATAGCTTTTCTGTATAGAAAAGTTATCGATAATAACTTTTCTGTATAGAAAAGTTATCGATAATAACTTTTCTGTATGGAAACGTTATGGATAATAATTTTTCTGTAGAGAAAAGTTATCGATAATAATTTTTCTGTAGAGAAAAGTTATCGATAATAATTTTTCTGTAGAGAAAAGTTATCGATAATAATTTTTCTGTAGAGAAAAGTTATCGATAGTAATTTTTCTGTAGAGAAAAGTTATCGATAATAATTTTTCTGTAGAGAAAAGTTATCGATAATAATTTTTCTGTAGAGAAAAGTTATCGTTAATAATTTTTCTGTAGAGAAAAGTTATCGATAATAATTTTTCTGTAGAGAAAAGTTATCGATAAAAATTTTTCTGTAGAGAAAAGTTATCGATAATAATTTTTCTGTAGAGAAAAGTTATCGATAATAATTTTTCTGTAGAGACAAGTTATCGATAATAATTTTTCTGTAGAGACAAGTTATCGATAATAACTTTTCTGTAGAGAAAAGTCATCGATAATAACTTTTCTGTAGAGAAAAGTTATCGATAATAACTTTTCTGTAGAGAAAAGTTATCGATAATAACTTTTCTGTAGAGAAAAGTTATCGATAATAACTTTTCTGTAGAGAAAAGTTATCGATAATAACTTTTCTGAATAGAAAAGTTATCGATAATAACTTTTCTGCATAGAAAAGTTATCGATAATAACTTTTCTGCATAGAAAAGTTATCGATAATAACTTTTCTGTATAGAAAAGTTATCGATTATAACTTTTCTGTATAGAAAAGTTGTCGATAATGACTTTTCTGTATGGATAAGTTATCTATAACAAATTTTCTTTATAGGAAAGTTATCGATAATAACTTTTCTGTATGAAAAATGTATAGATAATAAATTTTCCTTATAGGAAAGTTATCGATAATAACTTTTGTCTATCGAAGAGTTATCGATATTAAAGTTTTTTATATAGAAAGTTATTGAAAATAGCTTTCCTGCACAATTCCAAGGTAGACTCTATGTAAACTCGCCATAATAATGTAACTGCATCTAAAGTTGTCATTCATTATGGAATGATAGCATACATTAATAAACCTTTAAATTGATGCATTTCGGTAACAACTTTTTTTTTTTTTTTTTGTTATTGATTTGTAGCCGACAATGTTTTGGGTTCCGTATTTAAAATCTCACCCACGCCTTGTTCAACTGTAAATAATAGGTTATGTCTTTTTTTATTTTTTTTTTTTTTTTTTTTTTTTTTTGTCATTTAAAAGCGTTAATATATCACGTAAGGTGTAGACACGGTTTAGTTACGCTAAATTATTTTCGCATGTCTATCGAACGCATGGTTGCTCCTCTGACAATTAAAGAAGTGAGTATGGCTTTTTCAATAAGAAAATATTTAAGCCACTATTTATCCAAAATTTGACAGCTTTGAAAATTATTTCAAAAGTCAACAGCTGTATGGTAGCTGATAACAGGGATTTGTAGGTCGACTTTTTGATAGAACGAAAAAAAAGACTTTTCAGAGGGCAAAGTTTCTGAACAGAATAAAGGCATTGAGTCATTTAACCAGCCAAATTTAACCGAAGAAACGAAAATCAAAAGGAGGCGAATTTATCGATACTGAACGTCTCTCTGTGATAAATAATATGTTTTATCGGCAATATTTAACGCTTAAAATGACTCACAGCTCTTATTCTTTTTAACCCTTAAAACTCCCATGACTGATACTAGGGATGCGTAGTTCGACTTTTGAATAATTGATTAATCACTTTTTATACCCTTCTCCATAGGATGGAGGGTATATTAGGTTTGTCATTTCGTTTGTAATACCTCGAAATATATATTTTGGACCCCTCAAACTATATATATTCTTGATCAGCATAAAATTCTAAGTCGATTTAACGATTACCGTCCGTATGTGGAAATCCCTCTAGCATCCGAACAAATTGTTGTAGGTTGATAAAATTTTACTCAAATGTATGTTATGTCTGCAGGACTTTTGGTATTGAAAATGGGCTATATAGCTCTACGTTTAGGTATAGCCCCCATATAACTGTACCTCCCTATATTAGGGAATTTCGATGATTTTAACGAGAGTATTCACCGGAATTGTTTCAAATGTGGTATTGGAAGTTCGTAATGGAAACTATAGCCTATGACAGAAAACTGCGTACGCAGGTGTCCGTCTCTGCATAGCCCCCATATAACGGTATCTCCCATTATTCAGTATTTTGGTGATTTAAGCGACATTATTCGACGGAATTGTTTCAAATTTGGTATTTGAAGTTCTTAATGGAAACTACAGCCTAAGGCAGGTAATTGTCTGTGCAGGTCCTCGCCTTTATATAGCCCCCATATAACGGTACCTCCAAATATTCGGTTCTTTGTTAATTATTGCGACATTATTAACCGGAATTCTTTCAAATTTGGTATATGAAGTTCGTAGTGGGTACTACAACCTATGGCGGAAATTGTCCATTCAGGTCTTTTTCTTCGTATAGCCCCCATATAAAGGTACCCCCCGATATTCGGTATTTTGATGATTTTAGCGTCATTATTCACCGGAATAGTTTCACATTTGGTATTTGATGTTCGTAATGGATGATACAGCCTAAGACAGAAAATTGTATGAGCAGGTCCATGTCTTCGTATAGCCCCCATATTAGGGTATCTCCCGATATTCGGCATTTTGATGATTTTAGCGTCATTATTCACCGGAAATGTTTCAAATTTGGTAGTTGAAGTTCGTAATGGAAACTACAGCCTAAGACAGAAAATTGTCTGTGCAGGTCCACGTCTTCGTATAGCCTCCATATAACGTTACCCCTCGATATTCGGTATTTCGATAATTTTTGAGAGATTATTCACCGGAAATGTTTCAAATTTGGTATTTGAAGTTCGTAATGGAAACTACAGCCTAAGACAAAAAATTGTCTGTGCAGGTCCT